TTCATATATGAAATGGGACAGAGTTTTGAAAAACAACTTTTCGTTTGTTAAGATTTCTGCCTGTTGAGCTTCTCCGACCCGAGATTAAAACTTCCAGCACCTCAAGCGTGTTTCATTGGCATCTATAGTTGACGGACATAATTGGTTGCAGTCAGAAATTCCGGCCGAAGACTGTAAAATGTCGGCCCTGGAAATTTCAGCTCCAAAAACTGAAAATGGGACAGAGTATGGACAGTATGAGTTTCCAATTTGTTTTTTCGGAGATAGTGTGACGTCCAGGACCCCTATTTGGTTTCATACCATCAAGTAACTGACTAATTGGTGTGTGGGGGACGATGGGGGGGGGTGGGGGGGGGGGGGGTGGGGAGGGGGGGGGGGGCAGGGGGGGGGGGTGGGGGGGGGGGGGTGCATCCAATCTGTCAAATGTGTGGGGGGGGGGTTTGAAAATTGTCTTATCTGAAATGGGACAGTGTTTTGAAAATACAACTTTTCGTCTTGTTAAGATTTTCTGCTGTGAGCTTCCTCCGACCCGAAGCAAACGTCCAGCATTCAATCGTGGTCATTTGGCTTCTATAGTTGACTGACTATTTGGTTGCAAGTTCAGATATTTTGGGCCGAACTGTAAAAATTTCGGCTCTGAAATTCAGCTCCAAAAACTGTAAATGGGACAGAGTATGGACAGTATGATTTTCCAATTTTTTTCGAGATTTTGACTTCCAGTACACCAATTTGGTTTCATAACCATCATCAATTAACTGACTATTTGGTTGTGTGGGCTAAAATTTCATCCAATCTGTCTAATGTGCGTTGAGAAATTGCAGATCTGAAAATGGGGAACAAAGTTTTTGAAAATACAACTTTTCGTTTTTGGTAAGAATTCTGCTGTGAGCTTCCTCCGACCCGAATCAAACGTCCAGCACCCTCATCGTGTCCATTTGGCATCTATCGTGACTGACTAATTGGTGTGCAGGTCAGAATTTCGCCGAAACTGTATAATTTATGCCTCTGGGAATTCAGCTCCAAAAACGGAAATGGGACAGAGTATGGGACTGTAGAAATTCCAAGGTTTTTCGAGAGTTTGACTTCCAGTACCCCAGTTGGTTTTGTCATACCATCTCAATTTAACTGACTATTTTGTTTGTGGGCAAAAATTTCATCCAATTGTCCCAAATGTGCCGTTTCAGAAATTTTCATATCAGAAAATGGGACAGATTTTGGATAATACAACTTTTTCGTTTTGTTAAGATTTCTGCTGTGAGCTTCTCCGGACCCGAATCAAACTTCCAGCTCCTCAATCGTGTCATTTGGGCAGCTATAGTTGACTGACTAATAGGTGCAGGCAGGATATTCGGCCGAATCTGTAAAATTTCGCCCTGGAAATTTTCAAGCTCTAAAACTAAAATGGACAGAGTATGGGACAGTATGATTTTCCAATTTTTTTCGAGATTTTTGACTTCCAGTACCCCAATTTGGTTTCATACCATCAGCATTAACGACTATTGGTTTGTGGGCAAAAATTTCATCCAATCAGTCAATGTGCGTTGAGAATTTTCCTTATCTGAAAATGGGACAGAGTTTTTGAAATACAAACTTTTCGTTTGTTAAGATTTCTGCTGTGAGGCTTCTTCCGACCCGAATCAAACTTCCAGCACCACATCGTGTTCATTGGCAATCTATAGTGAACTGACTAATTGGTTGCAGGTCAGAAATCGGCAGGAAATGTAAAATTTCGGCCCTGGAAATTTCAGCTCCAAAAACTGAAAATGGGACAGAGTATGGGACATATGATTTTCCAATTTTTTTCGAGAGTGTGACTTCCAGTACCCCACTTGTTTTCATACCATCATCAATTAACTGACTAATTGGTTTGTGGGCTAAAATTTTCATCCAATCTGTCAAATGTGCGTTGAGAAATTGTCGAATCTGAACATGGGAACAAAGTTTTGAAATACAACTTTCGTTTTGTTAGATTTCTGCTGTGACTTCCTCCGACCCGAATCAAACATTCCAGCACCTAAATCGTGTCATTTGGCACCTATAGTGTGACTACTAATTGTTGCGGTCTGAATTTCGGCAGAAACTGTAAATTCGGCCCTGGAAATTCAGCTCCAAAAACTGAACTGGGACAGAGTAGGGACAGTAGGATTTTCCAATTTTTTCGAGATTTGACTTCCAGTACCCCAATTTGGTGTTCCATACCAATCATCAATTAACTGACTAATTGGTTTGTGGCAAAATATCATCCAATCTGTCAAATGTGCGTTGAGAATTTTCATATCGAAAATGACAAGTTTTGAAAATACAACTTTTCGGTTTGTTAAGATTTCTGCGGTGAGCTTCCTCCCGACCCGGATCACAACGTCCAGCAAAAAACCTTCCAAAACTCCCCCCGGTGTCATTTTGGCATCTAGAGTTGACTGACTAATTGGTTGCAGGTCAGAATTTTCGGCCAAACTGTAAAAATTCGGCCCTGGATATTTTAAGCTCCAAAACTGAAAATGGGACAGAGTTGGGAACAGTATATTTCCAATTTTTTTTCGAGATTTTGACTTCCAGTCCCCCAATTTGTTTTCATACCATCAATTAACGACTAATTGGTTTGTGGGTAAAAATTCATCCAATCGGTCAAATGTGCGTGAAATTGTCATATCTGAAAATGGGACAGAGGTTGTGGAAAATACAACTTTTCGTCTTGTTAAAGTTCGGCTGTGAGCTTCCTCCGACCCAATCAAACTTCCACACTTCACGTGTCATTTGGCATCTATATTGACTGACTAATGGTTGCAGGTCAGAAATTTGGCCGAAACTGTAAAAATTTCGGCCCTTGGAAATTTCAGCTCCAAAAACTGAAAATGGAACAGAGTAAAATGACCCATATAATGATTTTCCAATTTTTTTTCGAGATTTGACTTCCAGACCCCAATTAGGTTCATACCTCATCAATTAACTGACTATTTGGTTTGTGGCAAAAATTTCATCCAATCTGTCAAATGTGCGTTGAGAAATTTTTCATAGCTGAAAAATGGGACAAAGTTTTTGAAAATACAACTTTTCGTTTTGTTAAATTTCTGCTGTTGAGCTTCCTCCGACCCAATCAAACTTCCATCACCTCAATCCGTGTCCATTTGCAATCTACGAGTTGACTGACTAATTGGTTGCAGGTCAGAATTTCGGCCGAAACTGTAAAATTTATGCCCTGGAAATTTCAGCTCCAAAAACTGAAAATGGGAACAAGTAATGGACGTATGATTTTCCAATTTTTGCGAGATTTTGACTTCGCAGTTCCCAATTTTTTGGTTTTCAATACCATCAATTAACTGACTATTTGGTTTGTGGGCTTAAAAAATTTCATCCAAGCTGTCAAATGTGCGTTGAGAAATTTGTCATATCTGAAAATGGACAGAGTTTGAAAATACAACTTGTCTCTGTTAAGATTTCTGCTGTGAGCGTCTCCGACCCGAATCAAACTTCCAGCACTGCAATCGTGTCATTTGCATCTATATTGACTGACTAATTGGTTGCAGTCAGAAATTTGGCCGGAAACTGTAAATTTCGCCCTGGAAATTCAGCTCTCCAAAAACTGCAAAATGGACAAGAGTAAGGGCCAGTATGATTTTCCAATTATTTATCGAGATTTTGACTTTCCAGTACCCCAAATTTGGTTTCATACCATCATCAATTAACTGACAATTTGGTTTGTGGGCAAAAATTTCATCCAATCTGGTTCAAATGTGCGTTGAGAAACTTGGTCCATATCTGGAAATGGGACAAAGTTTTGAAAAATACAACTTTCGTTTTTGTTAAGATTTCTGCTGTGAGCTTCCTCCGACCGAATCAAACTCCAGCACCTCAATCGTTCATTTGGCATCTATAGTGATGACAATTGGTTGCAGGTCAGAATTTCGGCCGAAACTGTAAAATTTATGCCCTGGAAATTTCAGCTCCAAACTGAACGAATGGACAGAGTAGGGACAGTATGATTTTCCAATTTTTTCGAGTTTTACTTCCAGTACCCAATGGTTGGTTTCATACCATCAATTTAACTTACTAATTGGTTTGTGGCAAAAAATTCATACCAAACTGTCAACTGTGGCGTTCAAAATTTCATATCTGAAAATGGGAACAGAGTTTTGATAATACAACTTTTTCGTTTTGTAAGATTTCTGCTGTGAGCTCTTCCGACCCGAAATCAAACTTCCAGCACCTCAATCGTGTCATTTGGCATCTATAGTGACGACTAATTGGATGCAGGTCAGAAATTCGGCGGCCGAAACTGTAAAATTTCGGCCTGGAAATTTTCAGCTCCAAAAACTGAAAAGGGGTCAGAGTATGGGACAGTTATGATTTTCCAATTTTTTTCGAGATTTGGACTTCCTGTACCCAATTTGGTTTCATACCATCATCAATTAACTGACTTAATTGGTTTGTGGGCTAAAATTTCATCCAATCGTCAAATGTGCCGTTCAGAACTTTTCATATCTGAAAATGGACAGAGTTTGAAATCAACTTTTCGTTTTTTTTTTTTGTTTGTTAAGATTTCTGCTGTGAGCTTCTTCCGACCACCCGAATCAAACTTCCAGCACCTCAATCGTGTCATTTGGCATCTATAGTTACGTGACTATTTGGTTGCAGGTCAGAATTCGGCCGAAACATGGAAAATTTTTCCGGCCTGGGGAATATTCAGCTCCAAAAACTGGAAAATGGGGACAAGTATGGGACAGTATGATTTTCCTATTTTTTTTTCGAGATTTTGAGACTTCCAGTACCCCAATTTTGGTTTCATACCATCATCAATTAACTGACTATTTTTGTTTGGGGCAAAAATTTCATCCAATCTGCAAATGTGCGGGAGAAAATTGTCATATCTGAAAATGTCAAAACTGTACAATTTCGGTCCTGGATAAAAACTGAAAATGGGACAGAATTTGAGACAATATGATTTTGCAATTTTCTTATTAACAGGTTATTACCCCCCTTATGACAAGCTTCACTTACCTCAGAAGGAGTACACGGGAGAAAAGAGGAATCGTGCAGTGACCATCCCTGTTGAACCGCCCCTTCATCAGGTGAGGAACAAAGGGTAATCCGTTATAATGTTTTAATCATCATGTCCTTATATCCTGCAGCATATTAAGGGGGCATACCCCCAAAACAGTGGTTTGTGCCGTCCAGACCAAATGACCTCATAGGCAGTTCAGTGACCTTCTAGCGCACCGTTTCCACACCAAAAAAAATTATTTGGAGAATTCCCATTTTTGTAATCGAGCATTTCCTGGTTAAGAGTGCAATTTTCGGAAAATATTATTTTGTGGTTGAGACGCTATAAGTTAATTATTTCTTGCCATATCGGGTTGAAATTTTGCTCGCCGTTTATTCACATCTATGTCAAGGTGTGTGTAAAATCTTGATATCGTATCTAAAAAGGCTGGTGTGTTATGAATTTTTAAAGTCAAAAAGCTAAAATTGTCCTTTTCAGGCTTATTTTAACAAAAAGTCAGTCAGGGAAGATCGGATTATTTGATGCTTGACATCAAATTGTTCTCTGAATTCTGGCGCAGTTTTTGATGCCCTCAAAAATGTTTTTACTCATTCACCTTCTGATCTATTGGACCTCAAAGCCAAACAACAAATTTAGGCACATTTTTCGTTTTTAATATTTACTGATTTTTCTAAAATTTTGATAGGAATGTGCTAGTGACTTTTTGAAGGGTGCAAAATAACCGCAACTAGCACATTTATATATAAGTTATGAACAACAAAACACCCTAAAATGCTTCCCTTTGAAGTTATGGGAGAAAATGTGATTTTTTTTATCTGCAAACCAAAAAAAATCATAACACACCAGCCTTTTTAGATACGATATCAAGATTTTACACACACCTTGACATAGATGTGAATAAACGGCGAGCAAAATTTCAACCTGATACCGCAAGAAATAATTAACTTATAGCGTCTCAACCACAAAATAATATTTTCCGAAAATTGCACTCTTAACCAGGAAATGCTCGATTACAAAAATGGGAATTCTCAAAATAATTTTTCTTGGTGTGGAAACGGTGCGCTAGAAGGTCACTGAACTGCCTATGAGGTCAGTAGGTCTGGACAGATTTGGGGTATGCCCCCTTAAAGAGTCTGATGTTCATAACAGCAGGCTGTCATCATTATTGGCGCGTAGACAATTTTAGCTTACCCAAGCTTTTAGAAACGATCATTACTTGACTTCTGAGGGTCAGTTTCCTATGGAGTCTTGATCATTTGAGAGATAATCCTTTATATATAATATGTTTGTGTGTAACTGTTAAAGTGTCTGTTGTATAATATGCTTGTGTGTTGTGACCCCCCCCCCTGTGTAGCACGTGCTGATGACCGCGCAGGACAGAAGGTTGGGGAGGAGGCAGAAGTCGTCTGTAAGGAAAGCTATATACGAGAGTGTGCACTCTACGGGACACAGCAGTAGAATAGGTTACTTTACTTTATTATAGTTTATTATAGTTCGGGTTAGACAGCTTTAATTCTTCCGGAATTGTTATTCCGTCGTCTAGTTAGAAGTTCCGTTATTTTTCCGAATTTTGCGAACTTATCATATTCTACTCCCCCCCCCCCCCCCCCCCCCGATATTCTACTGATTACTTGGCTAGCAGAATTCGGATAACATAACTTGCTTTTCAGAGGGTATCGTAGATAACATAACTTGCTTTTCAGAGGGTATCGTATCATAACATAACTTGCTTTTCAGAGGGTATCGTATCTCGTCACAGTGTAGAGGAACCTCACTTGTCTACCATCATTAGTGACAGTACAGGTAAGTGTTGCCAGTGTGCCAGTACAGGTAAGTGTTGCCAGTGTGACAGTACAGGTAAGTGTTGCCAGTGTGACAGTACAGGTAAGTGTTGCCAGTGTGACAGTACAGGTAAGTGTTGCCAGTGTGACAGTACAGGTAAGTGTTGCCAGTGTGACAGTACAGGTAAGTGTTGCCAGTGTGCCAGTACAGGTTAGTGTTGCCAGTGTGCCAGTACAGGTAAGTGTTGCCAGTGTGACAGTACAGGTAAGTGTTGCCAGTGTGACAGTACAGGTAAGTGTTGCCAGTGTGCCAGTACAGGTAAGTGTTGCCAGTGTGCCAGTACAGGTAAGTGTTGCCAGTGTGACAGTACAGGTAAGTGTTGCCAGTGTGACAGTACAGGTAAGTGTTGCCAGTGTGACAGTACAGGTAAGTGTTGCCAGTGTGACAGTACAGGTAAGTGTTGCCAGTGTGCCAGTACAGGTAAGTGTTGCCAGTGTGACAGTACAGGTAAGTGTTGCCAGTGTGACAGTACAGGTAAGTGTTGCCAGTGTGACAGTACAGGTAAGTGTTGCCAGTGTGACAGTACAGGTAAGTGTTGCCAGTGTGACAGTACAGGTAAGTGTTGCCAGTGTGACAGTACAGGTAAGTGTTGCCAGTGTGACAGTACAGGTAAGTGTTGCCAGTGTGACAGTACAGGTTAGTGTTGCCAGTGTGCCAGTACAGGTAAGTGTTGCCAGTGTAGTAGACAGTACAGGTTAGTGTTGCCAGTGTGACAGTACAGGTAAGTGTTGCCAGTGTGCCAGTACAGGTAAGTGTTGCCAGTGTGACAGTACAGGTAAGTGTTGCCAGTGTGACAGTACAGGTAAGTGTTGCCAGTGTGCCAGTATGACAGTACAGGTAAGTGTTGCCAGTGTGACAGTACAGGTAAGTGTTGCCAGTGTGACAGTACAGGTAAGTGTTGCCAGTGTGACAGTACAGGTAAGTGTTGCCAGTGTGACAGTACAGGTAAGTGTTGCCAGTGTGACAGTACAGGTAAGTGTTGCCAGTGTGACAGTACAGGTAAGTGTTGCCAGTGTGACAGTACAGGTAAGTGTTGCCAGTGTGACAGTACAGGTAAGTGTTGCCAGTGTGCCAGTATGACAGTACAGGTAAGTGTTGCCAGTGTGACAGTGTGCCAGTGTAGTAGACAGTAGTGTAGTGTGTACACGTGTTATGGTAACTCCTCCTAAAAAGACAAGAGCATGACTCAGAGTAACACATAGGATGATAGCTAAAATAAAAACGTTATAATACCTGACATGTTATAATACCTGACATGTTACATTAACTTTATAAGGTTTTGATGTAGTGACAGCTCGAGATGTAACGCAGCTGAAACACTGGGAGACCTTGTTAACCAGACAGGAACAGAGCCCCAACCTAGACTCCTGCAGACGAGACATTGAGGCTGCTGTCTTCGCAGGTTTGCTAACAATAGTACTAATAGTACTAGTAGTAGTAGTAGTAGTAGTAAGATTCTTGCTATAAATGGCTACAGCTAACACTATTAATGCTAAGTACCAAACAACAAGTGGGAGGTGGATCGTTGGTACCATTAAATCGATTTAACACCGCAATTCCAGTCGCAAGCCTGGGACCACTACTAGCATAGTCACAACATCTACAAAGCTGCCATATAGCCTGACTGACAATTTTCTCGACTGACTGACAATGTTTCTTCTTTTTCCCCATTAAGAATACAAAGATTAGTACATTTTAGCTTATGATTAATATTATATTTTTACCTATAGTTTACTTAGATTGCTAACAATAGTACTAATAGTACTAGTAGTAGTAGTAGTATTAGTACTTGCTTACAGTAGTACTAGTAGTAGTAGTAGTAGTAGTAGTATTAGTACTTGCTAACAGTAGTACTAGTAGTATTAATTACTTGGAGTCAGCTCATCATGCTAATACCTGATTTAAATTAATATTTCAAAACAACACTTGTGGACCGATTTGCAGTCCCCATCAACCCCACCTCTGGCGTGCACTCCCCCTCACTTCGCCACCCCTCACTTCGATCCCTGATGTGCAGTTTCCTCCTCCCTCTCCCCCTCCCTCTCCCACCCTCTCTCCGATCCCTGATGTGCAGTTCCCTCCTCCCACTCCCCCTCCCCCTCCCTCTCCGATCTGACCTACTCTCTCCGATCCCTGATATGCAGTTCCTTCCTCCAACTCCCATTCCCTCTCCCGTCCCTGACCTAAGCTTTCCACAGGAGTACCGGACTCAGTTCGGGGACGTGTGTGGCAGACTCTGTCCCAGATGAGAAAGTGTAAAGATGAACCTCTGTCATCCTCCCTCCACTACTCACAGTTAGTAGAAGGAGCTGAACCTCTTATCAGAGACGCTGTCCTGCTTGATATTGGTAGGTAACCAGGTAACCAGGTAACCAGGTAACCAGGTAACCAGGTAAAAGTGTAAAGATGAACCTCTGTCCTCCTCCCTCCACTACTCACAGTTAGTAGAAGGAGCTGAACCCCTTATCAGAGACGCTGTCCTGCTTGATATTGGTGAGCACCATTCTTATTTAAGACCGTAAGATTATTTCAGTACTATATTCCATTTCCACCAAATTCCAGAGCAAATTTCAGGAGGGTTACTGTATCACGAACAGTTACAACCTCAGTTTCTGGTTGGTAATAATTTCAGAATGTGATTAATAACTCAGCCCTATTTAACCTAGATTTACCTCCAGGGAGAACGTTTCCGACGCATGCGTATTACCGGGAGGAATTGGGACAAGGTCAGATGTCCCTGTGTAACGTCCTGCTAGCTTACAGCACCTTCGACAGCGCTGTTGGGTACTGTCAGGGCATTGGCTTCTTGGCCGGTCTCATTCTATCTTATTTTGTGAGTTGGTTTCTTGGCTGGTCTCATTCTATTTTATTTTGTAAGTTGTTTTCTTGGCCGGTCTCATTCTATTTTATTTTTTGAGTTGGTTTCTTGGCCGGTCTCGTTTTTAATTGTGCTTTAATACTCATCAGGTAATACATACTTACATATATGGATTTTGAATCAGAAGTTTTGAATTATCCAGAAACAAAAGCAGAAACCAAAACAGAAATAGAAACAGAAAAACTAAACAATAAACACTAAACATAAACATAAACAGAAACAGAAACAGAAACAGAAACAAGAAACAAAAACAAAATAGAAACAGAAAAACTAAACAATAAACACTAAACATAAACATAAACATAAACAGAAACAGAAACAGAAACAGAAACAGAAACAAGAAACAAAAACAGAAACAAGAAACAGAAACGGAAACGGAAACAGAGACACTAAACAGAAACAAAAACGGAAGCAGAAACAGAAATAGAAAAACGAAAAATTAAACAGAATCAGAAACAGAAACACTAAACAAAAACACTAATCAGAAACGGAAAAAGAAAAACTAAGCACTAAACAGAAACAGAAACACTTAACAGAGACACTAAACAGAAACAAAAAAAGAAATACTGAATAGAAATAGAAACACTAAACAGTGATATTTTACAGAAAGACGAGGAGGAAGAAGCATTTATCCTGTTTAAAGACCTACTCACAAGATATGGTCTGAGGGACGTTTACAAACCGCATATGTCAGGGCTCAAACTAAGGTTGGTAATGGGTGTAGCTTAGAGGGGTGCAGGTGTTTAATGTCAGGGCTCAAACTAAGGTTGGTAATGGGTGTAGCTTAGAGGGGTGCAGGTGTTTAATGTCAGGGCTCAAACTAAGGTTGGTAATGGGTGTAGCTTAGAGAGGTGCCTGGTGCAGGTGTTTAATGTCAGGGCTCAAACTAAGGTTGGTAATGGGTGTAGCTTAGAGAGGTGCCTGGTGCAGGTGTTTAATGTCAGGGCTCAAACTAAGGTAGGTAATAGGTGTAGCTTAGAGAGGTGCCTGGTGCAGGTGTTTAATGTCAGGGCTCAAACTAAGGTTGGTAATGGGTGTAGCTTAGAGAGGTGCCTGGTGCAGGTGTTTAATGTCAGGGCTCAAACTAAGGTTGGTAATGGGTGTAGCTTAGAGGGGTGCAGGTGTTTAATGTCAGGGCTCAAACTAAGGTAGGTAATAGGTGTAGCTTAGAGGGGTGCAGGTGTTTAATGTCAGGGCTCAAACTAAGGTTGGTAATGGGTGTAGTTTAGAGAGGTGCCTGGTGCAGGTGTTTAATGTCAGGGCTCAAACTAAGGTAGGTAATAGGTGTAGCTTAGAGGGGTGCAGGTGTTTAATGTCAGGGCTCAAACTAAGGTTGGTAATGGGTGTAGTTTAGAGAGGTGCCTGGTGCAGGTGTTTAATGTCAGGGCTCAAACTAAGGTAGGTAATAGGTGTAGCTTAGAGAGGTGCAGGTGTTTAATGTCAGGGCTCAAACTAAGGTAGGTAATAGGTGTAGCTTAGAGAGGTGCCTGGTGCAGGTGTTTAATGCCAGGGCTCAAACTAAGGTTGGTAATGGGTGTAGCTTAGAGGGGTGCCTGGTGCAGGTGTTTAATGTCAGGGCTCAAACTAAGGTTGGTAATGGGTGTAGCTTAGAGAGGTGCCTGGTGCAGGTGTTTAATGTCAGGGCTCAAACTAAGGTTGGTAATGGGTGTAGCTTAGAGAGGTGCCTGGTGCAGGTGTTTAATGTCAGGGCTCAAACTAAGGTTGGTAATGGGTGTAGCTTAGAGGGGTGCAGGTGTTTAATGTCAGGGCTCAAACTAAGGTAGGTAATGGGTGTAGCTTAGAGAGGTGCCTGGTGCAGGTGTTTAATGTCAGGGCTCAAACTAAGGTTGGTAATGGGTGTAGCTTAGAGAGGTGACTGGTGCAGGTGTTTAATGTCAGGGCTCAAACTAAGGTTGGTAATGGGTGTAGCTTAGAGGGGTGCAGGTGTTTAATGTCAGGGCTCAAACTAAGGTAGGTAATGGGTGTAGCTTAGAGAGGTGCCTGGTGCAGGTGTTTAATGTCAGGGCTCAAACTAAGGTTGGTAATGGATGTAGCTTAGAGAGGTGACTGGTGCAGGTGTTTAATGTCAGGGCTCAAACTAAGGTTGGTAATGGGTGTAGTTTAGAGAGGTGCCTGGTGCAGGTGTTTAATGTCAGGGCTCAAACTAAGGTAGGTAATAGGTGTAGCTTAGAGAGGTGCAGGTGTTTAATGTCAGGGCTCAAACTAAGGTAGGTAATAGGTGTAGCTTAGAGAAGTGCCTGGTGCAGGTGTTTAATGTCAGGGCTCAAACTAAGGTTGGTAATGGGTGTAGCTTAGAGGGGTGCAGGTGTTTAATGTCAGGGCTCAAACTAAGGTTGGTAATGGGTGTAGCTTAGAGGGGTGCAGGTGTTTAATGTCAGGGCTCAAACTAAGGTTGGTAATGGGTGTAGCTTAGAGAGGTGACTGGTGCAGGTGTTTAATGTCAGGGCTCAAACTAAGGTTGGTAATGGGTGTAGCTTAGAGAGGTGCCTGGTGCAGGTGTTTAATGTCAGGGCTCAAACTAAGGTTGGTAATGGGTGTAGCTTAGAGGGGTGCAGGTGTTTAATGTCAGGGCTCAAACTAAGGTAGGTAATGGGTGTAGCTTAGAGAGGTGCCTGGTGCAGGTGTTTAATGTCAGGGCTCAAACTAAGGTTGGTAATGGGTGTAGCTTAGAGGGGTGCAGGTGTTTAATGTCAGGGCTCAAACTAAGGTAGGTAATGGGTGTAGTTTAGAGAGGTGCCTGGTGCAGGTGTTTAATGTCAGGGCTCAAACTAAGGTAGGTAATGGGTGTAGCTTAGAGAGGTGCCTGGTGCAGGTGTTTAATGTCAGGGCTCGAACTAAGGTTGGTAAGGGGTGTAGCTTAGATGTTTACTACTTCACTTACCTCAGATTTCTAGTTTTTCGTTGTCAACTACTCATTTTGACATGTGATTCGGACTTTTAAATAGTAATAGTAGTAGTAAATAAGAATCTCATGACGTGGGCACTACCAATAAGACTCTGGTATATTTATTATTATTCTCATCAGGTTGTATCAGCACTGCCAATAAGAAACTGGTATATTTATTATTATTCTCATCAGGTTGTATCAGCTATCCAGATTGCACTGCCAATAAGAAACTGGTATATTTATTATTATTCTCATCAGGTTGTATCAGCTGTCCAGCTACTACCAATAAGAAACTGGTATATTTATTATGATTCTCATCAGGTTGTATCAGCTGTCCAGCTACTACCAATAAGAAACTGGTATATTTATTATTATTCTCATCAGGTTGTATCAGCTGTCCAGCTACTACCAATAAGAAACTGGTATATTTATTATTATTCTCATCAGGTTGTATCAGCTGTCCAGCTACTACCAATAAGAAACTGGTATATTTATTATGATTCTCGTCAGGTTGTATCAGCTATCCAGATTGCACTGCCAATAAGAAACTGGTATATTTATTATTATTCTCATCAGGTTGTATCAGCTGTCCAGCTACTGCCAATAAGAAACTGGTATATTTATTATTATTCTCGTCAGGTTGTATCAGCTATCCAGATTGGGCACTGCCAATAAGAAACTGGTATATTTATTATTATTCTCGTCAGGTTGTATCAGCTATCCAGATTGGTTCACGACAGACATTTCAGTATCCACGAGCATCTCAACACACATGAGGTTTGTTTACCTTATCCACGAGCATCTCAACACACATGAGGTTTGTTTACCTTATCCACGAGCATCTAAACACACATGAGGTTTGTTTACCTTATCCACGAGCATCTAAACACACATGAGGTTTGTTTACCTTATCCACGAGCATCTAAACACACATGAGGTTTGTTTATTTCAGTATCCACGAGCATCTTAACACACATGAGGTTTGTTTACATTTCAGTATCCACGAGCATCTAAACACACATGAGGTTTGTTTACCTTATCGGACATTAACATGAACAAACATTTAAATGAACGGACATTTAAATGAACGCTAGGGCCTCAAGGCTCTATCGTCCAATTCATGTCCGTTCAAATAAGTTTCGATAAGGTAGTTACTACTCTAGGTAACTATGTTTACTACCTTAGGTAACTATTAGTTACTACCCTAGGTAACTATTGGTTACTACCCTAGGTAACTATTGGTTACTACCCCAGGTAACTACTGGTTACTACCCTAGGTAACTATTGGTTACTACCCTAGGTAACTATTGGTTACTACCCTAGGTAACTACTGGTTACTACCCTAGGTAACTATTGGTTACTACGCTAGGTAACTATTGGTTACTACCCTAGGTAACACCGTCTCTGTACGCTGTTTCGTGGATCATGACAGCATTCTCCGCCCAACTCCCCTTCGCCATCTGTCTACGTATTATGGACTTCATTTTCCTTCAGGGTATCGATGCTCTATTTAAGGTACATTTTGTGTTCACCTTTCATTATCTCATCAGTGTGGTTTTATATCTGCGCTTGTAAATGCCGATTTAGAAGAGCTCACCTCAATAATAATTAATACGGTTTATAACAGGGTTATCTGGCGATTTATTTATGTTAATTTTACCAGATTAATTAAATTTATCGCAATTTTCTGATTAGTTTTATATGTAAAAAAACCAAACCAAGTTTCTACCACTGATTTTCACTGTGTGATGATTTAATCCCAGTCCATCCTGCTGATTCAGAATACAAACTACTATACGATTACTACTATACAAACTACGATTTTAAATCAAATAACATGGTCTGTCCTCCTATCCGAAAATAAGTAAGTTATTAAGTTACAGGTAATAGTGTGTTCATGCTTATATTCAATAACATTCATATAGTTATAATTTATATTCCGTTTTCTTAACCTACATATTCCGGTACTTTACTGTGTTCCATCGCCCATCATTATAATATACTTGATAAATGATACTGGAATTATCTCAGGTGATTTTGTACACTCTGGACGCGTCGGAGGCAGAGATATTGTCCCTGAAGAACTTTGAGGTTTTGATGAACTACATGAAAGAAACAATACCGCAGAAAATAGACGCTTCTTTTGAATACAGGGTAATTTGTCTTACAAAATGTTGAATTATTATATCTGCCAGGGGTGCAGGAATACTGCTTCAATATTAACATTTATATAGTCCTGTCTTAGTAGTAACGTTTTACAACAACACTATTTTACTTTTTCCAGGTCAAGGACATATTCAGTTTAGATCTAACCTTGGAACTCAGAGAGCTAGAGATTGAATACCAGGTAACTCATTACTACTACTATTCTGGCAACCTCTCTAGTAACCATAGTAACTATAGTAACCATAGTAACCATAGTAACCTTGGAACTCAGAGAGCTAGAGATTGAATACCAGGTAACTCATTATTACTACTATTCTGGCAACCTCTCTAGTAACCATAGTAACTATAGTAACCATAATAACCATAGTAACCTTGGAACTCAGAGAGTTAGAGATTGAATACCAGGTAACTCATTATGATGCGTTAATTAATTAATTAATTAGTTAATTGGCCGTTAAATGCCCTAGCGTTCACACAATGTCCGGTCAAATAACGTCTGGATAAGGTACATAGTACTATGTAGTATATAGTACTATATAGTATATAGTATATACCTTATTGGTCATAATTATCACGGACAACTTAATCTTACAAAGTATTATAATATTTTTCTGAACTCTATATAGAATGTGACTGATCTAAACTTTATCAATGATGACCTTAGTCACAAAGTTTCTTATTTTTCAGTTTTGCATGATTTACCCAGTTGATATTTGTAAACTATATGATCAATACTGAATAAACTAATCTAATGGAAGTTTTAAGACAACTGCTTTGTTTTATGGTATAATTTTATACTATAGACTGAACGATGAAGATTGAGGAGGTTCAAATGACACAATAATGAGGATTAAAGCCAGTGTTTGGACTGGCTTTGTCTTGAGCTGCAACCCTACAATTAGTAGAACAATGGGGTTAAGTTATTAGACCATCCCCAGAAAGTGATAGCGAGTGTAATCATTTAGTGCAGTCCATCCTCCTTTCTTATTATCATCATCATCCTCTTGTTGTAGTAACCTCCCTAGTAACCATAGTAACCATAGTAACCATAGTAACCATAGTAACCATCCGAGATGTCATCTCCCTCTCCTCTCAAGCTGTTAGGTAAGCTAATCCTACATTCAAAACTCAAACTGTTAGGTATATATATATAATATATCTTACTATATATAAAGCGAGACGATATATATATATATATCTGTGCCATTTTACTGACACCAAGGCATCAACTTTAACGCGACTTTCCGCAAAAACCGTAAAAGATATACAACTGGAACTTTTTTGGCTGGGTCAAATGCTTTAATGGCCTTCAAATCGGCATGAAAAAATAAAAAATTGGCCAAGGAATAATGATTTTAGAGCCGAAAATTTGGGCCCCCAAGTGGTGTCAAAAACGCCGATTAAATAGGTAATAATTATTTTAGTATTTTGAGTCTTGACACCGTTTAGGGTTATATTATACGGGTTCCTGCTAGTATATATAAAGTAAGCTAATCCTACATTCGCCGTATTTTATAGTCCGGCCTAAGTTTTCTATTTAAAATGTTCGTTTAATGCTCGTTCATATTCAGCTAAAAGTTCAACATTGCAGTGATGACGGTGCTATTAGTAGTTGTAAGAGCCGGAGGTAATCAGTGCTCAACGAAATGCCATTTCGACCAGGCTCAACACGGGATGCCTATGTTAGAAGTAGCTCCAGGCCAGTATCAGGGGCCGGTACTGTATATTGAGGATTGTGATACGGACTGCCCTCTTCCTGAGGTGTGTTTGCATAGTCAAGATCCGGACAACACTCGCAACATTTCCAACGTCTGCGCTCCTGCTAGTAGTTTGTGCGACTTCAACCAAGACACCAATTGTATGCACCATATAATTGAGAGCTTAGGGGATGCCCTGCCTTTTCCTTTCGAGAAAGATCCAACTGTTCCTGAGGCCCCAACTGTTCCTGAGGCCCCAACTGTTCCTGAGGCCCCAACTGTTCCTGAGGCCCCAACTGTTCCTGAGGCCCCAACTGTTCCTGAGGCCCCAACTGTTCCTAAGGCCCCAACTGTTCCTGAGGCCCCAACTGTTCCTGAGGCCCCAACTGTTCTTGAGGCCCCGGTTGTTGCACCAACCCCTGTTAAGAATATACCAGTTAACAATGATCTCACCGAGGCAGATGAGACCAATGTTGAGACGAATGAAACAGATGAGACAGTTGAGACGGATGAAACAGATGAGACAGTTGAGACGGATGAGACAGTTGAGACGGATGAGACAGTTGAGACGGATGAGACAGTTGAGACGGATGAGACAGTTGAGACGGATGAGACAGTTGAGACGGATGAGACAGTTGAGACGGATGAGACAGTTGAGACGGATGAGACAGTTGAGACGGATGAGACAGTTGAGACGGGTGAAGATGAGAAGGATGAGACGGACGAAGATGGCAGCAATGTTGAATCTGCTGGATGTCTAACTAGCTTCTCTTCTCTGGTGGTTACCTCACTACTGCTCACCTCCTTGCTTGTATTTCATTAGAGAAGTTATTGTTAAGTATGATCAGAGCTGCAAATACCGAGCTGACATTGGGAACCCTAAATAGGAACCCTAAATAGGAACCCTAAATAGGAACCCTAAATAGGAACACCCAGGATACATTACTTATTTATAACTTTACTACTTTGGGAACTAATCTACTTTTATGAAGCTGTGCGTGTAAAGACTATAACATATATAGTATATAGTATAAGAATGAGATGTAAATTAATTTAAATCTTACCGTGGGAGTTAATAGTTTTTGTAAACCTTTATTCTATTTTTGCTATTCTTTGCAATATCGAAAGTTTTACTTTTTTAAATAACTAATAGGAACCAAAGAATCTAAAATATGAAGTCATACCGATAAAATGTTGTGGTTTTTCGTTTACCTGAGAACATGGTTAGCTAACTCAGTCGGCCTGCGGCCAGGTTCTAATTGAGGATCTGGGAAGCCCATATCCCCCACTCAGACGCCAGGTTCTAATTCTATCCCCTATAATAACGCTCCCCGCTTATTGACCTTCTGCTCCTTTATCCTACGAAACAATATTTATTCTTACTTAGCGATTGGTATCTTTAAAAAACATATTCTACTGTTGGACACATCTTTATGAAACCTTTTATTTAGCCCCTCGGGGCCGCGCCCTCAGATCCCGCTTCTCGGGGCTGCTCCGTGTCCTAGTGGGGAGGGGGCGTCCTAGTGTCCTATATACTAGTACTTTTCCAACAAAGCAATCTTACTTTTGAATGTAAGATCTATCTAAAGTTATATTTTACACTCCTTTAGACAATTGTAAGGGTATTTCTCGATGCGAGCATGGTGACGTCACACCACGTGTTATGACGTCACACTCAAGATTTGTATGTCCGAGATCACTAATACTGATTTCGGACATATTATTGCGGGCGAAACGAGCGGGCCACAGAAAACAAACAAACATAGAAACAGTTCCTGCTCAATCTCCTTACTTTTCCCACTTCCACCCTTAATAACAGTAATAGTATATAGTGCGGGAATCCTGAATAACACTCCCGGCCAGGTGTTACACTCCCCCCCACCCTGAATAACACTCCCGGCCAGGTGTTACCCCCCTGAATAACACTCCCGGCCAGGTGTTACACTCCCCCCACCCTTAATAACACTCCCGGCCAGGTGTTACACCCCCCATCCTTAATAACACTCCCGGCCAGGTGTTACACTCCCCCCCCCCTGAATAACACTCCCGGCCAGGTGTTACACTCCCCCCACCCTTAATAACACTCCCGGCCAGGTGTTACACTCCCCCCACCCTGAATAACACTCCCGGCCAGGTGTTACACTCCCCCCACCCTTAATAACACTCCCGGCCAGGTGTTACACCCCCCATCCTTAATAACACTCCCGGCCAGGTGTTACACTCCCCCCACCCTTAATAACACTCCCGGCCAGGTGTTACACTCCCCCCACCCTGAATAACACTCCCGGCCAGGTGTTACACTCCCCCCACCCTTAATAACACTCCCGGCCAGGTGTTACACTCCCCCACCCTTAATAACACTCCCGGCCAGGTGTTACACTCCCCCCACCCTTAATAACACTCCCGGCCAGGTGTTACACTCCCCCACCCTTAATAACACTCCCGGCCAGGTGTTACACTCCCCACCTGAATAACACTCCCGGCCAGGTGTTACACCCCTTGAATACACTCCCGGCCAGGTGTTACACACCTGGATAACACTCCCGGCCAGGTGTTACACTCCCCCCACCCTGAATAACACTCCCGGCCAGGTGTTACACTCCCCCCACCCTGAATAACACTCCCGGCCAGGTGTTACACTCCCCCCACCCTGAATAACACTCCCGGCCAGGTGTTACACCCCCCCAACCCTGAATAACACTCCCGGCCAGGTGTTACACCCCCCACCCTGAATAACACTCCCGGCCAGGTGTTACAACCCCCCACCCCTGAATAACACTCCCGGCCAGGTGTTACACCCCCCCACCCTGAATAACACTCCCGGCCAGGTGTTACACCCCCCCACCCTGAATAACACTCCCGGCCAGGTGTTACCCCCCCCCCCCCCCCCCCCCCCCCCCCCCCCCCCCTCCCCCGGGGGGTCACCCCCCCTGCATAAATGGACTACTGGAGAATGTGGCCACCAAAACACTTCAGGCCATGAATTCCCACCCTCTGAATAATTCACTGGGCCATTTTCTCCATTTAGCCACCGAAAATGAATAAAACTCGGCATGGTTAATTGAACGAATTGTCTGCCCCCCTAGTACAGTCCCCAGTTTATCACTATTCCCCTCCCTACTGACATCAATTCCCCAGTTTAATCCCAACATACCCAGCACCATTCATGAAATAAACTTCCCGGGCCAGGTGTATATCAAATGAAAAAACTGCATGATGTTCACATGAATAACAATCCGGCCAGTGTATACCCCCCCGTACACACCGTAAACCCTGAAACACTCGCCATGACCCCCCCCTCCAAATAACAGTGAACCCTGTTACAACCAACTCGATAACCTTTAATAATCATTGGGTGTTTCACATATCGCCCCGCACCTCCCTGAATAACCCCCAGTTTTAAACAACCATTCCACTGAATAACACTGGCCTGTGTTCAACTACCCCTGATAAACCGTCCAATGTTAATCACCCCCCCCCTACCCTGAATTAACACTCAGCCATGATACACCCCACACCCCTGAAATACTCCTTCCATTTACAAAATAATGGACATGTTACATCCCCCCCTACCCCCCCCCACCCTAAAAGCACTCTGGCATGTTTCAACAACTAGAAGTCCTAAGCCATTTCGAAAAGTACAATCTGCTAAGCTGCAGAAAAGTTCCAGAACCATCACCACAAACCGGGCTGGAGCGGTAGAGGGGGGACTGGCTATGCGACTGGCCAGTAGGACCTGGAGGGCCGGTCCAGGGAGGAAACTAATGGAACCCAACTTTACCACCAATCTCCAAAGGCCCCATTTAGATCACAATTTTGACTGTTAGTACTCCTTATTTAATAACTTTTAATATCCCATTAACAATAATAACTTAATTCTCTGTGTTAGGACAAGGTGTAACCTACAGTATTTTGTTGAGCAAGGTTAGACAAATCAGTTGAGATGGACTGTAGAGAGGCGCTCTGTCAGATTAGAGTATAACGAGCAGTTGACATATGAAAGGGTGAGATTAGAATAATTCATGGAGTTGTTGAAGCAGAAAATTGTCCTAGATTATTTATATTATACATCATATCATATTGTAATTTTTAGATACGTTAGACAATTGTTCGGTATAAACTTCTTCCATTTGACTGAAATATCCTGATGCTACTCTAAAATGCAAAAAGATTCTTTGATAAAGAGGTATAATTATGAACTGGTCGATGTGATTTCGCTAAGCGAAATACCGACCAAGTACGTGCACTCAAGCAGATCATTTAGGAATGAGGATCTCATCGCGTGACACTTTAGCACCTACTAAGGGTATCTCATGTTCAGTCTAGTGACAGGGTATGTTCCAGATCAGATCCCATCGCATAGCGGTTCTTGTTAGTGATTTCGATAGTGCAGTATAAATGTCACAGAGAATTTAGTTTAGTATATCACATTCGATTCCTACTCCTCTTCACAACTATCTACAATATGCTGAGTAACAGTTATTACTTAACTCTTCCTGAGAAGGCCGTCTTCATCCGGGGACGAACAGCTGAGATGGGTACGGGAGAACGGACTGAAGAAGGACTACGACGAAGGAATTAACGACCCCCTTACCAATTCCTGGACTTCAGGTCCTGTTCGAGTGTGGATATGTAGACTTATGCACTATGCAGCTTGCCTTTCACCCAGTGGACGATGTTCTCCCTTCTTTCATGGAGCTCATAGATCTTATGCCCTCCCACCTTGGCCTCGACGACTTCCTTAACTACTTCATGACGAATTGGGTACAGGGAGTTTCCACCGCTCGTAGCACCAAACCTGCCCGCTTTCCTCCGCAATCCTGGAACCTCGTCGACCGGACTACCTGCAACTTCAACTACGCAGAGGCCTTTAACAGAAAGTTTGCAGCAATGTTGGGACACTCTTACCCAACTATCTGGACCTTTCTTCAAGCCGTCTACATAGAACAGTCCACTACAGATGAGATGATGCTCAAGGAGAGTTACGGGGATGCTCCTCCTGCAAAACGAGCCCGTCAGCGTACCAAGGATAGCCGACTGGCACATTTAGTAAAAGTCTACGACGATCATGACATTGTCTCACTCTCCCACCTTGACATGTTGAGGAACGTGATGGTCGAGGAACTGAGTGAACTATTTTAAGATATTTGATTCGCAGTATTAATGTTTAATAAGTTGTATCAATTCTATCATCATTATGTGACGACTATTATCAATCATTGATTAAAAAACATAGCTCAATCTTCAAAACTAACTTTACTCTCAAATTTCTAACCGCTCTAAAATTTGCATGTGGGTACCGCTCTAGAGTCTTCATAGTATGGGTCCGGTAAGGGAGTTCCGCTCTAGAATCCTACCTTGGCGATTTGACTCCGCTCTAGGGTCCTCATAGTATGGGTCCGGTAAGGGGGTTCCGCTCTAGAGTCCTACCCTGGCGATTTGACTCCGCTCTAGGGTCCTACTTTCGAATTTGCTTTTCTTGAATAGTCAAATGTTTGGTATATGTTTGATATAATACATTTCTATTTTCTTTATTTGTCATATGAATCTTTAAAGATCATTCCAAGCGTTATAAAGCATGAAACATGTCTCTTATTCAAGTACTAATAATATTTGCGAATTTAAAGTCATCCTAAAGGTCAAATATGAAGACCTAAATTCATGGCATAAATTGGCATAAATGGAGAATTGGCCAAACAAAATTTCCATTTATGCCATGAAATTTCTATGCCATTTGATGAATTTTATGCCATTTGTCTCCATTCTATGCCATTGGTACCCCCCCCCCTCCTGAATAACACTCCCGGCCAGGTGTTACACCCCCACCTTAATAACACTCCCGGCCAGGTGTTACCCCCCCCCCCCTGAATAACACTCCCGGCCAGGTGTTACCCCCCCCCCCCTGAATAACACTCCCGGCCAGGTGTTACCCCCCCCCACCTTAATAACACTCCCGGCCAGGTGTTACCCCCCCCCTCCTGAATAACACTCCCGGCCAGGTGTTACCCCCCCTCCTGAATAACACTCCCGGCCAGGTGTTACCCCCCCCCCCTCCTGAATAACACTCCCGGCCAGTTGTTACCCCCCCCCCCCTCCTGAATAACACTCCCGGCCAGGTGTTACACTCCCCCCACCTTAATAACACTCCCGGCCAGGTGTTACCCCCCCCCCCCTCCTGAATAACACTCCCGGCCAGGTGTTACACCCCCCCCCCGTGAATAACACTCCCGGCCAGGTGTTACCCCCCCCCCTGAATAACACTCCCGGCCAGGTGTTACACCCCCCACCCTGAATAACACTCCCGGCTAGGTGTTACACCCCCCCCCCACCTTAATAACACTCCCGGCCAGGTGTTACACCCCCCCCCCCCCCCCTGAATAACACTCCCGGCCAGGTGTTACAACCCCCCACCCTGAATAACACTCCCGGCCAGGTGTTACACTCCCCCCCCCCCACCCCACCCTGAATAACACTCCCGGCCAGGTGTTACAACCCCCCACCCTGAATAACACTCCCGGCCAGGTGTTACACTCCCCCCCCCCCTGAATAACACTCCCGGCCAGGTGTTACACCCCCCCCCCCTGAATAACACTCCCGGCCAGGTGTTACACCCCCCCCCTGAATAACACTCCCGGCCAGGTGTTACACTCCCCACCCTGAATAACACTCCCGGTCAGGTGTTACACCCCCCCACCTTAATAACACTCCCGGCCAGGTGTTACCCCCCCCCCCCACCCTGAATAACACTCCCGGCCATGTGTTACACCCCCCCCCCCCCTGAATAACACTCCCGGCCAGGTGTTACACCCCCCCACCCTGAATAACACTCCCGGCCAGGTGTTACACTCCCCCCACCTTGAATAACACTCCCCCCCACCCCTGAATAACACTCCCGGCCAGGTGTTACACCCCCCCCCCCCTGAATAACACTCCCGGCCATGTGTTACCCCCCCCCTGAATAACACTCCCGGCCAGGTGTTACCCCCCCCCCCCCCCCACCCTGAATAACACTCCCGGCCAGGTGTTACCCCCCCTGAATAACACTCCCGGCCAGGTGTTACACCCCCCCTGAATAACACTCCCGGCCAGGTGTTACACCCCCCCCCCTGAATAACACTCCCGGCCAGGTGTTACACCCCTCCCCCCACCTTAATAACACTCCCGGCCAGGTGTTACCCCCCCCCCCTGAATAACACTCCCGGCCAGGTGTCACACCCCCCCCCCCCCCCCCCACCCTGAATAACACTCCCGGCCAGGTGTTACACCCCCCCTGAATAACACTCCCGGCCAGGTGTTACACCTCTCCCCCCACCTTAATAACACTCCCGGCCAGGTGTTACCCCCCCCCCCCCCCTGAATAACACTCCCGGCCAGGTGTCACACCCCCCCCCCCCCCACCCTGAATAACACTCCCGGCCAGGTGTTACACCCCCCCTGAATAACACTCCCGGCCAGGTGTCACACCCCTCCCCCACCTTAATAACACTCCCGGCCAGGTGTTACCCCCCCCCCCCCCCTGAATAACACCCCCGGCCAGGTGCTACACCCCCCCCCCCCCCCCACCCTGAATAACACTCCCGGCCAGGTGTTACACCCCCCCCCTGAATAACACTCCCGGCCAGGTGTTACCCCCCCCCCCCCCCCTGAATAACACCCCCGGCCAGGTGCTACACCCCCCCCCCCCCACCCTGAATAACACTCCCGGCCAGGTGTTACACCCCCCCCCCCTGAATAACACCCCCGGCCAGGTGTTACACCCCCCCCCCCCCCTGAATAACACTCCTGGCCAGGTGTTACACGAGGACCTAGAAAGTGCTAACAAAGCCGAACTTCTGGAGACGAAGTACAATCTGCTGAAGCTGCAGAACAAGTGTCACAGTAACCAGATCACCCAGCTAAACCGGGAGCTGGAGCGGAGCAGGGGAGAGAGACGGGCTCTGACAGGCCAGGTTGAGGAACTAGAGGTCCGGTTCAGGGAGGAAACTATGGTTCTCAACTTTACCATCTCCAATCTCCAGGTCACATTTTAGATCACACATTTTACTTTTAGTTTACTCCTTATTTAATACACTTTTAGATATCCCATTAAACAATAATTAACTTTTTAATTTCTCTGTTGTTAGTTGACAAGTGTAACAATACAGTGGTGTTGTTAGTTGACAAGTGTAACAATACAGGAGGAGGTAATGATGCTGAGGAAGAGGAACGCCATGTTGAGGACGGTGTTAACGGGGGAGCCACCAGGTGACGAGAGTGAGGGAGAGGGTGTGGAGGGTATGACACGTGTGGAGGGTGACGATATGTCACGTGTAGAGGGTGATGGTGACGACCTGTCACATGTTGAGGGTGAGGGTGACGACCTGTCACGTCACTCTGATCCTCTCAGCGTTGCTAACATCGAGTCTCTGATTGCTGACCAGTTTCACGAATGGAACGAGATTGATGACTCATAAAATCGAAATAGATCTTTGTAGAACATTCGAATATAACATTTATTCAGTTTCCTATTGCTACCAATGTTCCTGATTTGATATTGAAATTGGAGTTTATACAGCTGATATAACTTCTATGGGACACTTGGTGAAATATAATTTGCGATGAAGGCTGATAAAGAATAGTGGGTAGAACCAGGTATAGACGATTTGTATCATGGCTCTATAACACTGTAGAGCCATGATACAAATGGTTGATAACTAATTTCATAACATGAGTTCAAACTAAAACAATAAAACCTGATCAGTGCCCTTAATTTAATGGTGCTATTTTGCGTGGTGAAAAAATGAAAAAACGTATCAATATTTTGATTATATATTTCGGAATTACTGAAGAAGATTTTGCTAGTCCGGCAATTAATATTTAAAAACTGTCCTTTATAATTTATTGACATATCCTCTTCGTCAGGTATATAATCTGGGTTAGCTGTTGTTCTGTTTGTATGTGTTCATGGTCACTTCCTGAAGTTTATGAGATTTATAACGTTAAACATTTATAGGTCACTTTGTAGAAGTCTTCCCTTTATTTTGTTAAAATATCAAAATCCATTATCAAACCATTACAATGAAGAAATCAACGGAAAAATTATTAATCTTAACATTTCTCTGCGACGAACAATAACAAGAGCTTAAGCTTAGGCTGTTCCTTAAATAGACGAAACCTATTATTTATATTGTACCCTCGAATTACATTAGGCACGATTAATTAATCTACCGAGTAAACACACCGCATTCACACATAACGAGCGTTTAGAAAAGCAACGCAGCTGATTTACCTATTTACAATACCTTAGTGCAAGAAATATAGGCGGCAAGAAATTAAGGCGATTCTGACAAAATCGCCTTAATTTCTTGCCGCCTTAATATCTGACCACCGTAATTTCTAACCGCCTTAATTTTTTTTCTTGCGATTTTTTCATAAGAAATTTTCGTGTGATTTTATTATTTTAAATTTACATGTCGATTTCGTTATTTGCTAGAATTCAATGAAATACATATTTAAAATAAATTAACTTGAGTCTAAATACATTAATATATCAATTAATATTCTCGTCTTCTCCTTCTTCATCAGAGTCATATATCTCCAGCAGCTGCAATCCATAACCAAGATAGTCGTCGTCATCTTGCTCCGTCGTGTCTGGAAATAGCTTCTTGATAATATCAGCTGATTCATCCTCCAAACGTTTGTCGAAGCTGTACTTTTCGTCGACTAACTTCTTGAGGAGCGTTATTCCCTTCTCATTGGTCCATGAAGCAGTTACAGAGCACTTCACTTCTAAGCCGCCCTGTGTAAGAGGAGAACGTGCAGGTTTCTCCTCCAGGACTTTTACTTTGTAGGAGCAGCCATGACCAATCGAAAAGTAGACAATTCGTGATATTTCTTTAAACTGCAGTACATGTGTTATTAATGTCAGTTCAAATTCGAATGTTCGTACAATTTTACATTTCATTTTTAAGCTTTAAATCGAGTTTTAATTTTAAAAAGAAATAATTTTTAATTTTAATGATGATATGTAGTATACATACATAAAAATTCCTTGCCGCGTACAGAATGTGCACTATCATTTTGTCAAATGCAATGAATATACCAATTGACTTGCAGTTTGCTGATGTAGTGGATGTCTACCTAATTTAAAATTATAAACTTAGACGACAGAACAGCAATCACTATAAATATAATGTGCATGCACCATTTAGTTTTTATGTGACCAATGTCCAATATATCGTATTTTTAAACAGATTTCTATGCTTTATAGACTGATAAAAGAATAAAATTGACACTATTTCGACCAAAACTATAACCAAATTTGCGATCAAAAATCGTATTTTTTCCGAAAAAAATATCGCCTTAATTTCTTGCCGCCTTAATTTCTAGCGCCTTATATTCTTGCCGCCTATATTTCTTGCACTAAGGTAGTTAAGATAAAGATAAAAGACTTACTAAATTATTCAAGAAAAAGACTTACTAATTCATAATAGTCAAGAGAAAGACTTACTAATTCATAATAGTCAAGAGAAAGACTTACTAATTCATAATAGTCAAGAGAAAGACTTACTAATTCATAATAGTCAAGAGAAAGACTTACTAAATTATTCAAGAGAAAGACTTACTAATTCATAATAATAATAGTCAAGAGAAAGACTTGCGCGAAACTGCCGACGAATGTTTTCTGCACAAGCACAGAATTATCTGCCACTATTTCCTAACAGCGGTACTGGGTACACTACATGAATATAAAGGTCACTTACGAAATGTTCGACTAAAATATTATTATTCACGAGGTCACGTGATTACTGATTGTAGCGGTATAAATGAAAATTCCAAATGCCATAATTCGGTCGGCCAAGAAGTATGTCCTACCTTACAACTTTCATCAAATTAGGACAAGATTAGGACAAATTAGGACATAATTCATAGTACATTCTTTCAATTCAGTTTCTTGATTTTTTGATTCGTCAAGGTAAGAATTGTTTACATATGATGCCAGGTTTTGGGTCAGCTGAAATTTAAATTCACGTACAAATTTGTTAAACAATTATTGTTTTTAACAAGATTAAATGAATAATCTTTATTACATGTTTATCATTAACTAAAAGAAGTACTAGATTTGGTGTGAGCTAGACTCCCCTCCATCAATATTAGATCTTATTTTTGTAATTAGACGCAACTTTTTGAACATATTAACAATTACTAAAAATCTTTTAACCATACTTTTATTTGACACTAACCTAACTCCTTCTGGGAGAGGGTTTCCAGAGTTTTTTCAGTGTTTTAACAGAGTCGTTATTGACCAAGTGCTGTTTCCACACTGGTCACCTTGTTACACTCACTATCACAACTCTTAATACCAGTAACCAGCTTCCCCGATATTCGACAATATTCTCGTGCACTGTTTTTCGTGCTGATAACAGTTCCAAGCGCACCAGGTGCTGACTCACCTACCAGCAACCAGGTCAGGTTTGTGTGGTTTTTGCAATATTTAATGTTGTCTCAAATAGTCCGTCCATAATTTGAGTAACTTACTCTGGCGACGTGTAGTGTGTTCTGGCGACGTTGAAACACAATAAAATTAAACAAGGAATCACCAACCCTATTGATAAGATTATAGTATGTCCCTTTGTAACCCACGACCAATGGAAATGTGTTCCAAGTTTTCTGACCCAGACAAATAGTTGAAATGGAAACCGCCAAAACTGTAAAGCTATAAAACACACGAGAGTATACAAGAGTGCAAGACGGCCGCCACGTGCACCACGTGCAGCCAATCACAGCACCGTAAAACCCATCGTGGTACAGCACCGACCAATGAGAAGACAGGACAGAATCACGGCAGCCAATGAGAAGGCAGAATAGGACGCGCCACCTGATGTGGCCAGATGAGCGGTTGAGAGAGAGTAGGAGCGAGGGAACGATTAATGACGACCATTATATGAGTATTGAGTTGCCTTTCCCTCCTTATGTTTCAACGAAACGATATTTAATATCGCTATTTGTTGGTTGAACTATAACGCGATATGTATGAAGCTGCAAACGATAGACAACCTGTTTCAGCAGCGTATTACAGACCTACTCACGATCATAGGTCCCCTTCTTTTCTCTTTTGGGCATAAGGGGGCTTCAGGGTTGGGTTTCCCTGGATAGTACGGGCGGGGCCGGGGTTTTTTGAGCATTTGGAGCGATTTTAAACTTTGTTTGATTGAGGGTGGAGTTTTTGCAAACCTTGATGGGTGGCTAGAAATTTAGGGTTTCCTCAGACCTAATATATTGTGTTAACTTTAACCACGTTAATAAACGCATGTTTAAAATTGAAACGATCACAATTCCTATTAAAAGTAACGAAAACTTGTATTGCATGTTGGATGATTTCAGTTTCAATTGTTCTATCTAACCGTCTTATTATAAACTAACTTGTAAGTAAAATAGTAAGGGGGTGCACCCCTCCCCCAGTAAGGGGGTGCACCCCCTCCCCCAGTAAGGGGGTGCACCCCCTCCCCCATTAAGGGGGTGCACCCCTCCCCCAGTAAGAGGCACACAGACAAGCTAACTGAGTTTTGTTACAGGTTGTCTCCACTAGTGCACCACCGTGCTGGACAGCCCCCCACCGCCCCTAACAGTAACTATCACAGAGGACAAGCTGGCTCACCTCCTGCTTACCATGCCGCCAGACCCCCTCCCTCACCCCTTGTACCCGTGAGTACTTGTCAGATTCCAGTTTAAATTCAACACTAGATCACCCCTCACTTTAACCCCCACAGAATAGTCTAGCTCACTCCAACCCCACCTCCCCAGAATAGTCCAGCTCACTTAAAGTTCAACCCCACCTCCCCAGAATAGTCCGGCTCACTCAAAGTTCAACCCCACCTCCCCAGAATAGTCCGGCTCACTCCAACCCCCACCTCCCCAGAATAGTCCAGCTCACTTCAACCCCACCTCCCCAGAATAGTCCGGCTCACTTCAACCCCACCTCCCCAGAATAGTCCGGCTCACTTCAACCCCACCTCCCCAGAATAGTCCAGCTCACTTCAACCCCACCTCCCCAGAATAGTCCGGCTCACTTCAACCCCACCTCCCCAGAATAGTCCAGCTCACTTCAACCCCACCTCCCCAGAATAGTACGGCTCACTTCAACCCCACCTCCCCAGAATAGTCCAGCTCACTTCAACCCCACCTCCCCAGAATAGTCCAGCACACTTCAACCCCACCTCCCCAGAATAGTACGGCTCACTTCAACCCCACCTCCCCAGAATAGTCCAGCTCACTTCAATCCCCACCTCCCCAGAATAGTCCGGCTCACTGCAACCCAACCTCCCCAGAATAGTCCGGCTCACTCCAACCCCCACCTCCCCAGAATAGTCCAGCTCACTTCAACCCCCACCTCCCCAGAATAGTCCAGCTCACTTCAATCCCCACCTCCCCAGAATTATAGTCCAGCTCATTTCAACCCCCACCTCCCCAGAATAGTCCAGCTCACTTCAACCCCACCTCCCCAGAATAGTCTAGCTCACTTCAACCCCACCTCCCCAGAATAGTCCAGCTCATTTCAACCCCCACCTCCCCAGAATAGTCCGGCTCACTCCAACCCCACCTCCCCAGAATAGTCCGGCTCACTCCAACCCCCACCTCCCCAGAATAGTCCAGCTCACTTCAACCCCACCTCCCCAGAATAGTCCGGCTCACTTCAACCCCACCTCCCCAGAATAGTACGGCTCACTTCAACCCCACCTCCCCAGAATAGTCCAGCTCACTTCAACCCCACCTCCCCAGAATAGTCCGGCTCACTTCAACCCCACCTACCCAGAATAGTCCAGCTCACTTCAACCCCACCTCCCCAGAATAGTCCAGCTCATTTCAACCCTACCTCCCCAGAATAGTCCGGCTCACTTCAACCCCACCTCCCCAGAATAGTCCAGCTCACTTCAACCCCACCTCCCCAGAATAGTCCAGCACACTTCAACGCCCGATCTAGCTACACGCAGGACAGACATCAAGCTGTCAGAGGACATTATGATCCGAAGTTATCTGTAATGCACCCTAATGAACCTGGTTTGTAACTTAACTCAATTCTTTACTTTTGTTTTTATTCTCTTTATTACTTTTGCAAAGGTTCTGAACATAAATCATATCGACATTTGATGGGGCTTAGTTAGAATATTCAACAATTGGTATTGATAAAACTTTGGACAGTCCTATATTTAAATGTTATTTTATGATCTATCTTTTCGGTATGCAAAAGAGGGGACTATGTAATTCCCTGAAAGTTTTGGTGCAAAATTTGGAAGACACATTTTAAACAATAAACAAACACACATGGTGTTCAGATGGAATATTTTAACATACTTTGTTGAAAAATAATTTGTTCATGTGCTGCCCGTTAACGATTTAAAGAAAATAGTGTTTTTGGTTGCACCTTCTTCAAAAAATTTTATGGAACATGATAATTTCTCGATAAGATTGAGAATTGACGAAGGTTGGTAGTTTTCAAAAATGTGTTCAAATGATGATATGACCTAACGATTTTTGCTTTTATTTTACTTTTATAAAGCTGAATTGAATACTTGTATCGTTGTTTTATACATTTATTGTTATTTTAACGCCCTACCTCAGCTAGGCTCTATTTTACCACACAACATTAAACCTCTCTGTTTCAGAGCACCGACACACTGTACAAGGTTTAAATCCCAGCTATGGGTTCACACAGGAGCAAGTGGCTTGTGTTTGCGAGGTAGGGACATTACTACTTAGTTACCACCTAGTAACCACTTAGTAACCACCTAGTTACCACCTAGTAACCACTTAGTTACCACCTAGTTACCACCTAAATCCCAGCTATGGGTTCACACAGGAGCAAGTGGCTTGTGTTTGCGAGGTAGGGACATTTTGTAGGGGTTTATTTGTTTCCTACATTTGCAAACTAAACTTAGGCTCATTTTATAAACTGTACAGTTTATTTCTCCTTTTAAAACGTATGTAAGTAAATTAAAACACAATCTCAAAGTAAAAATATCGTGAAAATTTAATTGTATCAAGCTGCAGAGACTAGAGATACTGATAAGAGAGATACCAGTGTCCAGTACACATGGTTATTGACAACGCGGAATAATTATTAGCAAATACTGAAAATATACCATAGGGAAATGCAATTTTATTGTGGCGAGATGAAGGATTCAGAATTTCCAGGTATAAAGTTCCATCAACGGCATAACCCATGTGTACTGGACAGTGTCCAGTACACATGGGTTATGTGGACACTGGTACTCGAAAATAAAACTAACTATCCCCCGCCCCTTCGTTAAGTCTCTAAGTTTGATACCGTTATTCTACTTTTAGTTTTAGATCTCTCCCAGTCCTGATATGCTGTTCTGAGCTAATCAGTAAATGTTTACTGGTTAGGGTATATTTATTGTTATTAAGAAATGAGGAGCTTCCTTTAGGGCGATCAGTCTTCATATAATTGTATTTCAAAATGTTTTCTAAATCTAATAGCCTCTGTTACTAATAGTCTGCTCAAATGTTACGAATACTGTGTTCTACGGTTTTAAGCTAAAAGTCCACTGAAATTAGGTCCACTCTTACATAAACCTTTTTGAGAAACGACAAGAATTTGACTGTAAGAAAACTCTCCAAGAAACTTTACAAATTTGGGTATAAGAAATTGCAAGAGTGGGAGTGCAAGAATGGGAGTGCAAGAATGGGAGTGCAAGAAGCGGGCTGCAAGAACAGCCTGCACCAAATGACCGGGCATGGTGTTATGGAGTTGTCTCTCCAGTAACACCGCCTCCCCATCTCCAGTAACAGTAGAACGGCTTGTCTTCCCTCCTGTAACGCTACCTCCCTTTACCCTCCCATATTATTTTCATCCCCTGGATTGTCTTCCACAAATCTGACATTTTATCTCGGCCGAGGGTGCACAAGCGCCACACAATACACTCTTTAGAGAGGCCCCTGCCACTTGATACCCTCATCCACCCCGCCAACCTCCGTCACATGACCATATTTGGAGATCACGTGCGCTATTTCTCGCTCTGTGATTGGTCCAGCGGGGGTTATTAGCGCTGCACAGCTGGCATATGTTAATCGGGCGAGTGTAGGTGTTTTGCCGGAATTCGATACGCTATTTTAATATTTCGGTAGCAAAGCACCTGGTGGCTGACTAAGGTGGAACCACGTGACCCCGTGATGTCACGTGATACGGCATAGCACATGACCGAGCAGGTGCTCGGAGTACTCTATCAGTGAACCCATCAATGGCATGCTATCACAGGTGGCTCATTTAATTTATATTTTAACCCTATAGTTATTTAGTTAGTGACCTTAAAAAATAACTGCAAAATTGTATTTATATGGATTTCACAAGGTTTATAAGCCAAGTTAACAGGTGCATCGTGTCAGTTAGTCACGTGTCAGTTAGTCACGTGTCAGTTAGTCACTTCTTTATACAAAGTGGCTGATATCTCTGTCATATGCCGTTCTTATTGGTCAACATATGAACTTTTGTCTCGTGTGTCATTCGTCAACATGACCAGAGTATATTCATTTAGAATAAACATTTTCAAAACAGGTTCACACTTCACATTCCTTTACATCAGACACTATTATATTCAAACACTAAACAAGTAAAGTAGAACCACTATAATAAAGCTAGCGCCCATGTGTGTGAGAGTGTGAGCGCGCGCTGTTGTGCTCACAGGGTTTATCAGTTCCTTCATCTTCTTAAGAGTACAGAGATCATCCTGGCAGGTATACACATAGCAAGCTTTTATAAACTGGTTAACCCCGCACACGTCACTCTCTGTCTGATTATCCAGGCACCCCAATCTATACAAGTTCAGCCCCAGCAGGTCCCAGTGAGCAGTGTAACAGTTCATACACTCTGTCTCACTAGCGCGGCACACTGACCAGTCCCAGATACTAGGCGCATGCAGACAGTTCTGACAGAGCGACTTCTTAGGGAGATGCAGAGACCTCTCACACCGGCCCCCAGCCGCCTCCCTGCAGCTAGCCTGGCATTCCTCTCCCTCACAGATAGCCTGGCACAGTGTGTTGTTGTAGCATTTAGCAATACACTTGGGACCCTTACAGTACACCGTGCAATTGTTACTGTTGTCACACTTAGCTAAACACAGCTCTCCCTCACACTTTATCTTCAGTGCTAAGTTCCCAGCTGTCACTCGCTTACCGTAAGCAGTACAGTTGTATCCTATACAAGTAGGTCTGGAGTTCTCACTGTCAGTAATGGTAACATTACAGAAGGCGCCCCTGCATAACCCATCAGAGTACAGACTATCTGTTATTGTTATCAGTGTGTGGTTGTTATCTCCGTATGTCTGTATCTCTAGATCCTGTCCCTTGGTGGCGGTTATCTTGGCCTCCAGAGAGCCTATTGCTACGTAGTAGTTACTGGAGTGACTCTCTTCTGATGTGATGGAGCAGTTGTTACCACTGCACTGGTAGTTGTTTCCTTTGCTCTTGGTATCTTTGATAGAACAGAACACCCCCGTGCAGTTTACCTTGTCGTAGGATTGTATCTGAGTGGACTGATAATCCACAGAACAGTAGGGACCGGTACAGTAGTACTCGCTGTAAGAACCATTCTTAGTAACAATCTTACAGGCGTCCTCAGTACTTGCAGAATCTGGACATGTCACATAAATCTTGTTCTGGTAGTTTGGGATGTACTCTGTCGTTCCTTCACCCTCCGTTCTTTTTGATTTACTTGACGGGTCCACCATCTTATCAAGTGTAAAGATAACCTTGTTTCCCACACCACGTAGTGTAGATAAACTAGCCCCCTTGCTGTCTACAGAGCTAGCAGCTCCAGTAACATTAACAGTAGCCTCCGTGAGCTGGGTGGCAGTGATAGCACACCCTTTAGAGGGTTCCTCGCACGTGGTGGTAGTCTTCCTGTTGTTAATGTAAGTTAATTAATTACTTACATAATCAATTTAATCTAATTACTTACTTAAGCATACTTTAGTCTGCATATATACACGTGTTATGACGTCACACCACGTGTTATGACGTCACAATTACACAGGAGTACCTAGTATCACTAACCTGTTGTTCCCCTTCTCTAGAGAGATCTGGTAGGTACATGGTTTAGGTGCAGGTGTGGTTATGTCGTAGAACTGGCCAGTACAGTTCACGTCTGGAGCGTCGCAGTGCTTTATCACGCAGATGTTGAGAGTACCGGGCTGGATGACTGTAACGGCTGCTGTGTCTGATATAATGCTGCCCCCGGGGAAGGTTCCTGTTTTCTTGTAGGTTATGTTGCAGGAGTAGAACCCCTCGTCCCCGATAGCTATAGAGCTGAACGTGATCTTGGAATTGTGGTCCGTTTTTGGGACAGTGTTTGGGAATTTTCCGTATTGTGTGAAGGTATATTGAGCAGGAGTAGTGGCTGTATCTCTAACCTCTCTATACCATTCCACAGTCCCCTCCTCACTATTAGCTGCTATTGTACAGTTTATCTGGTGCTCCATCGTCTCCACTGCCGCACTACTTACAGGCTGCACTATGTACGCTAACACTCCTGCTGTTCCACTTGCTTCTACTGTAATGGCATCATCTACTTTAGCACTGCACTTGAAGGCTGTCTCCATGTCAATACTCACTCTACTCTTAGGTATGTCCAGTGTGAGGGTCCGTGTGTTCTCCGCAATGTTGCCCGCGTTCACTACCATCTTCAGTCCTGCAGCTAGTGCTGTTTGTGAAGTGTACACTGCCTCCCCCCACGTGAAGGAGACATCACTCACTGCTGCTGCTCCATTACCGATCACACACACTACTATCAGATCAGTAGCGTCCAGTATCCAGGGCTTACTCATTGTCATGCCTACCACCGTGATATCGGCAGTACTTGTAACTGTTGTTGCACTTCCAGCTCCTTTTGATAACTGAAACTCGCACTTCCAGTTGGTGCTGAAGTCTGGTGACTCCTTCACAGTTAAAGTGAACTTGTTTGTGTCCTTGTCGAAGGCGGCCGTGAAGCCTGCTATGGACTCAGCAGGTGTAGATGTTATTTGAGCTGAAGGTAGAAGTGTCCACTTGGGGTTCTCCCCCACAGTATCGTAGTTTACATCATCTCCTCCTGCTAGTGGCAGGAGGACCTGACATAACAACACAGCTTCTCCGAGGTGCACTGCCATGGCTCCGTACTGTAACAGCTCGTAGTCTGATCCTGCAAATGCCATGGTACCTGTGTTCCAGTTCTTATTCTTCAGGAACCACACCTTAAAGGATGTTGAACCTAATTGTTTACACAAATCCTCATCTGGGGGACTTTCTGGGGTACTCCAATCTAATACTACTATGTTGTTGCAGACTATCGTCAGATGTCCTTCTTTTTTTGTGAGTGTCCACACTTTTGCCGTTGCAGATGGAACGTTGGTCATTGCAGGACGATGCGCTGAATCATCATCCGCTTCATCATCAGTACAACCTGATACCGAGACTTTGTAATTCGCGGGACTGAAATAGAGGAGTCATTGAGACAATTATATGAAATATGAAGGTTTTAAAAACCTGGAATCTTTAATGCCAATAGTTTAAGTGATATGGAAGATAATTGTAAAAGGGAATTATGATATTATACATATATGATAGATCCGTTTCCACTGCTTATTTATTAAATACCTCCATTGGATGTGCGATCTTGGCTCATGATCGCTAGATCTCCTGAACCAAATGTTAATATTCGGATTATTGTTTGTCTTGAACTTCAATAACTTCTCGTTGTCTTTGAAGAACACATCATTAGCAGCGGGCAGCCTGGCCACCAGCTTACCAGTCACATCCTCCTCCTCCAGAGTGTACGCTGGGTAGTCTTTGTAAGCTTCACTACCCTCATCTCCCCAAAGTTCTGGGTCCCCGAACACTATCGTCTCATAAACTAGTTCAGTGCCTGAAAATAAGGGTTCATTTGTTAAAAGTGATCACATAAACTAGTTCAGTGCCTGAAAATAAGGGTTCATTTGTTAAAAGTGATCACATAAACTAGTTCAGTGCCTGAAAATAAGGGTTCATTTGTTAAAAGTGATCTCATAAACTAGTTCAGTGCCTGAAAACAAAGGGTTCATTTGTTAAAAGTGATCACATAAACTAGTTCAGTGCCTGAAAATAAGGGTTCATTTGTTAAAAGTGATCTCATAAACTAGTTCAGTGCCTGAAAATAAGGGTTCATTTGTTAAAAGTGATCACATAAACTAGTTCAGTGCCTGAAAACAAAGGGTCCATTTGTTAAAAGTGATCACATAAACTAGTTCAGTGCCTGAAAATAAGGGTCCATTTGTTAAAAGTGATCTCATAAACTAGTTCAGTGCCTGAAAACAAAGGGTTCATTTGTTAAAAGTGATCACAAACATTCATAGTTTCTGGCAGAGTTTTTATGAAATACAACATTAGAAATATTGTAGTGTTAAAATACTTCTTTACCTGAAGCAATGTTGATAGATAATATAAGTAGCGTTGCTCCGACCCAACAAGTCATTTTAAAGAAGCAGTAAAAACAAGAGATGAGAAGTAAAGTGCAATATTGCGTGTGTTGCGGTGTGTTGTGAGGTGTATCCCACATTTGATACGCTTACTTTGCAGACACACTTCCTAGATCCCATCTCTTTCTGCAAACGTATCACTATTACACTGTGATACCATGGTAACTGTATCACTATTACACTGTGATACCATGGCAACTGTATCACTATTACACTGTGATACCATAGCAACTGTATCACTATTACTCTGTGATACCATGGCAACTGTATCACTATTACACTGTGATACCATGGCAACTGTATCACTATTACACTGATACCATGGCAACTGTATCACTATTACACTGTGATACCATAGCAACTGTATCACTATTACTCTGTGATACCATGGCAACTGTATCACTATTACACTGTGATACCATAGCAACTGTATCACTATTACTCTGTGATACCATGGCAACTGTATCACTATTACACTGTGATACCATGGCAACTGTATCACTATTACACTGTGATACCATGGCAACTGTATCACTATGTTAACACTTATGTTAACTAATGTTAACTAATGTTAACTAATGTTAACTAATGTTAACTAATGTTAACTAATGTTAACTAATGTTAACTAATGTTAACTAATGTTAACTAATGTTAACTAATGTTAACTAATGTTAACTAATGTTAACTAATGTTAACTAATGTTAACTAATGTTAACTAATGTTAACTAATGTTAACATTTCAGGTTCTGTCTCAGGGTGGCAGTATGGAGAGACTAGCACGGTTTCTCTGGTCCCTGCCTGCCTGTGATCATCTACACAAGAACGAGAGTGTTCTAAAGGCTAAAGCAGTGGTCGCCTTTCACAGAGGAAACTTCAAGGTGTGTGGGTTGTTGTGGGACTGAAAGGAAAATGAACACAATATTTAACTATTCACTTTCCTGCTTCCGAAGGGGAAAACATTAACGTTTGGTAATGAGAACCGTGAATAGTCTGTTGTTTATTTAATAACTATTCTCTGTTAGCTAGCAACAGATTGTTATTCTCTGTTTTATCAGGAACTGTATCGGATATTGGAGAACAACAACTTCAGTCCCTCTAGTCATCCCAAACTACAAAACATTTGGTTAAAAGCACATTACATGGAGGCAGAGAAACTGAGGGGAAGGTACGTTATCTCTAAACGGTAGCATAAGGAAAAGAGATAAGGTTTTCTTAGAGATATGGTTTGAACAGTATTAGATGTTTTGCCGTATGCCTCTTTATACTCTCTACTCTATAAAAACACAAAACACATTATTTTCTATAAATCAGGTCCCTGGGAGCTGTGGGAAAATATCGTGTCCGGAAAAAGTTCCCTCTTCCTAGAACAATATGGGATGGTGACGAAACTAGCTACTGCTTCAAGGTACCTCCTAGGGTATACTAGTCTATGTAATAAGCGCCATGAGTTGGCACAGAATTTTTTGTCTCTGATTTTGATAAATTTGGTACCAAAAGTTGCCTTTAACTGTGAATAATGAAAATTCACCGTGTAGCACGATTCGTTGAGATGTATGTGGGCCTCCTGTGCATTGCAAAAGTGTACTATGGACGAAAAATGGTTAATCTATTGCTTAAAATGCCTATAACTCCTAAAATATTGAATATTTTGAAATAATTCTTACAGAATCGTAATGAGCTTAATCAGACGCAACTTTTGGTACCAAAATTATAATATTTCAAGCACCAAATTTTTCGAAAATTTGTTCAAAATTTTACACAAGGGGGGACCCTTGTGTTCAGATTAAAAACTTTTGAAAAAAAAATTCCTTTAAATCTTAAAATATTATTACTAAAAGTTTCATCTCGATGAGCTGATTACGATACCATAATAACTATGCGATAATAATTTAAAATGTGAAAGTTATAGGCCAAAAACTAAAAATTTGCGCGAAAAAAGCACGCGCGGCGAACAAGCGCCGTGTAGCATTTTTTCCGAAAATTGCTACACGGTGAATTTATTTTATTCACATTTTTAGACAACTTTTGGTACCAAATTTATCGAAATCGGAGAAAAAAGTTCTGTGCTCGCGCTTGGCGCTTATTACACTGACTATACTATACAGTATACACTAGTAACTCCTCTTTCTTATTTGTTTCTTCGTGAACTGTTCTTATTTCATATATATGTGCCTCGCTTTGTTATATCCCCACTGTTGTAAGTCTAAATGATCATCACTTGTTTCCTTTAGAGAATTCCAATTTTATCACCAGGAAAAGTCTAGAACAGTTCTTAGAGACTGGTACGCGCACAACCCCTATCCGTCCCCCCGGGAGAAGAGAGAATTAGCGGAGGGAACTGGGCTCACCACAACGCAGGTTACTTTCACTTTCACTTTCACTTTCACAAGGCACAAAGTTTTCGTTGTATCACGTCGTGACCCCCATTGTCATTACACTTAGTGGTATACAGCCGCGCACTCGTACGCGGCGAACCTACAAAGTGAGGCAACGTTTACGTAGGTTTCTTTGCTTTAAATATTTACTTTAATTTAAATATTTACTTCTTTTTGAATATACTTAACTTGATTTATTAGTGTGTAAGCTCTATATATAGTGGTCCAACCTGCCGACATATTTCCTTAATTTTTATCGTTATTAAATATTCAATTTAATAACGTTTAAATAATTGTAACAGGTCAGCAATTGGTTTAAGAACAGAAGACAGAGAGACAGGGCGGCAGAAAGCAAGGAGAGGTAGGTGTAGTGTGTAGTGTAGTAGTGTGTAGTGTGTGTGTGTAGTATGGCTACACACACACTACACTACAGGATATGAACAGATAGCATAGATAATACCATTGAACCTTTAGATCTCGTGATAAGTATCATAAGAGGAAGCTAAATAAGAACTAACCTTCAGGGACGGCTCAGACCCAGGGAGCGGCAGACCACGCAACAGCTCTGATGAGGGGTCCCTACCAGAGGAGGAGACTAAAATCAAGGTAGTGGAAGAAAAGGAACATTTCTCCTTTCTCTGTATCTAGTATACACTGTGTATGTTGTTACCACTAGATATACTGTATACTATACAGTATATCTAGTGATAACAACCTTTCTTGACTGATGAGGTGTAGATATAATATTAATTATTCAGATTACTTCCCACCAGGTGGAACCTAACTCCCGAATAAACGCTCCCTCCGATTCCCAGTTCACCGTCTTAGAATCACCTTACGTTCCCATGACAACCCACACGTCACCACATGGTATGACGTCACTACCCCCTCTGATGACGTCATCCTCCCAGCGAATAGTCACTTCTCCCGAACAGCAGCTGGAGACGCCCAGTCTAGATAATCAGAGGGGTATAATGGAGGATACAGATAACAGCAGAACAAAGCGACAGAAGCTCTCAGATCACGGGGGAAATGGGATGAACAATAATCAGGTTCGTGTGGAAGTGATTGCACGTGGTCCTAGTAGTAGGGTTACCGGGGTTACCGGGGTTACCGGGGTTATTACCCGGGTTACCGGGGTTATTGCCCGGGTTACCGGGGTTACTATACCGGGGTTGCCGGGGTTACCGGGGTTACTGGGGTTACTGGGGTTACCGGGGTTACCGGGGTAACTGGGGTTATTATAGGGGTTACCGGGGTTACCGGGGTTACCGGGGTTATAACCCGGGTTACCGGGGTTACTATACCGGGGTTGCCGGGGTTACTGGGGTTACCGGGGTTACCGGGGTTACTGGGGTTATTATAGGGGTTACCGGGGTTATTATAGGGGTTACCGGGGTTGCCGGGGTTATTATAGGGGTTACCGGGGTTACTCTACCTCCGACTTCCGAGTGATGAAACTCATTATCCATATCCAACTTGTCAAAATGCTAAAAATACTTTAAAAGCACGACCACTTAAATTCCTTAACACCAAATAATTTCCAGCCCAGAAAACAAGAAGATAACCAAGAAATAGAGGTGCCTATTTACGCTAGTCTGGGGACCACGTGACATGACACATGACAAGACACGTGACATTTTCAATAGACACGTGACAAATTTCAGCTCATTTGAGGGGTAGAGTGTGGATAGGCGAAGGAGATGCTAACTCCTATTCTATCTGAAAGGAGAATTTAGAGATGAATTATAAACCTTGAACTGTGTGAAAACCAGTAAACAGTTTCCTTAATGTAGGCCACTGTCTGTTCCAGCTGCATTACACTACAGTACATTGTGCTTCATTACACTACAGTACAATGTGCTACATTACACTGTTCCTTCTTCTTAGTTTTATTTTTATTAAGATTAAGATTAATGCAAATGCAAATTTTCAATATTTTACTAAAATTACAGAAATTTGAAATGTGCACGGTAGAAAAATAATTAATGTTTATTGGAAGAATACATGGGCCCGTTTACCTTGACTTTAATAAGAGGAATTGGATTTAAGCCTATCTTGACAGCTATTTTGATAATTCAGTTGTAATGTTTGAAACTCAATAATAATTAGGTTGAACTTGGATTGAATGGGTTATTCCAAGGAATTCCATAGACTGCACATAGATAATAGGCTCTCGGGTTGCTCGTATCACATGTCCACGTATATCCAACCCCCTATTGTGTATTGGTTATGTGCAAATTACAATTTATCGGTTATATGATCAGATGTAGCCCACAATAATTAAAAAACTTTCGCTGGAAGTAACAGAGGATAGAAATTGTCTGATGTCGGCAGTCGGGGCTTTATTTTCACTAGTTTTACTTTTAACCATCACTTATAAACGTTTTGATGATTAAATCTGTTTTAGTAAAAATCACGGTTCACGTTTTTAATTTAAATCTATTTTTATGTTTCAACGGGCCCTTTACTTCGACTACGTATTATGTTACTGTTTACTTTTAGAATTGATTTGTCAATGGATTTTTTACGCTTTACTTTTATGAGCGGACGAGTCTTCATTCTTTCACTATGTAGAAACTAGAGACTCTCTTTGACTTTAGTACTAGTTGTCATACGTTGTACATTGTATGACCCGCGCTGAGCACGAGTGCGCGGCTCCCCCTGTCATGTATCGTAAGAACGACCGTGGGGGTCACGACGTGATACAAGATTTAGTGGGAGCAAAGCCAAAATGATTACCAATTTGCAATTACGCGATCACGCTAGTGTAATTTTGACACAATTGTAGCTATGTGTAAAACTGATGACGGAGGGCCGGACGAGGGGGATTAGAAATTGTTTAAAAACTATTACTCGTAACTTAACCACCTTCGGGGCATGGCAATCTACTTTGAACGTCCGGCAAATAGGTTGGTTATTGAATTTCGGACAAATCCGCGGACGCGGACAGGGGAAAAGGGTGGTTTCTGAAAATCCGGACGTCCGGAAATTTTGGCAGAATTAACGAAAAAGTCCCATATATTTCAACTCTGACACTAATTACTTAGTAAGTTTAGATCCTTGTATTTTGAACGAGAAGTCGAAATTCCCAGAGCAGCTCATGAGAGCCGAGTTTAATTCGTCCTCTTAAAATTAGCTGGAAATCCGGACGTCCGGGGCCAGAGGGGGTGGTTTTGAAAATTCGGACACACCCGGACAGAGGGAGGGGGTGGTCTGAAAATTTGCGATTTTGGTGGACGTTCTAAGTAGATGGCCCCTTCGGGTCATACAAGTACAACGTATGACTATGACAACTTTAACCAGGCCAACGCCCTTGCAGTAGCGTGCGGCTTGACTGACGATGTTTTGTTATACGTTGTATTCGACCCGCCTGTATCGTAAGAACAAAAGTGAAATATGAAACAACTGTGGGGATAACGACGCGACGTGATACAAACGATGTCAACGTCCTCCGCGAGATCGTTACTCTGCAGTCTGCAAAACCAAAAACAATCATGATAGTTACACTTTTATAGTTTCCCTTGTATCACGTCGTGACTACGCGTTGACCATTGTTAATGCAGTCTGGCCCGGCGCGCGCTACTTCGTAGCACTTGCCATCGGGCCATAATATTTCGAGAAGAAAGCGGTGCGCGCTACTTCGAAGAAATTTGTATCACGTGGTGACCCCCACAGTCGCTTCACTATAAAGTTTCGACGATACAGGGGAGCCGCGCACTATTGCGCGGCGGGTCATACAACGTATGACAAGGTCATACAATGTACAACGTATAACAAAGTTTCCCCGACGCGTCGAATCGGCAACCCGCGACGTCCTCCAATTACAATAAACATTATAATCTTGTAGGTTTATATTGTATAACTTACCAAAATGTGCGCCGAGTTGGACTTGTCGACGGTCCTGAAATATTAAATATTTAAAACAAATATTTTACGTGTATCCCCTGTAATTATAATCAGCCTTGTCGTACGTTGTATGACCCGCCGTTGACATACGTTTTGCAGCGCGATGCGTTACTGTGCCGCGCCGCTAGATCGGCTAGATCGGCGAGATGCGCTACTGTGCCGCTCCGAGCTGCCATGAATTGACATCGTCAATTAAACATACGTTGCATGCCACTTTTCGCGCGCGAAGCGGTTCCCCCTGTATCGTAGCTCCACCATAGGGTCACGACGTGATACAAAATCAGCCTGGGGTCCCCAGATTATGATTAAACAAACAAACCCTGATTTAATTTTGTAAACGTTGACTGTTGATATGTGATATAATTTTGATTTTTAACGGTAAAAATTTGTACTTTTTTGCGCCTGATAGTGTTTTGCTCACAACTCTCCAGTTCTCCACCACTTGTGAAACAATTAACCATTGTTAATGATCTGGCCCGGCGCGCGCTACTTCGTAGCTCGTGCCATCGGGCCAACATTTCGAGAAGAAAGCGGCGCGCGCTACTTCGAAGAAATTTAGACGAGTTACATCCGTCAAGTGAAACAAGCGCGTCACGTATTACTTTAGCTTGCTAGCTATCAGCTTACTAGTAACTATAGCAAGAGCGCCGCGAAATTGGGAATCGAAAAGAGCGCCGCGCATTGGGAATGGCGTGCCAGGTAAGGCGAACCTGGCCTTGTAATTATAAGGTTGTTGGTTAAAAGAACAAAAGGTCCTAATGCATATTTTTATGGCTGACTCGCAGCTCAACCGGACTGATTGGGACATTTTTGTAATTGGAGAATAATAATGTGACGGGTATCTGTTAAAATTGATTCACGATGTGAATTCTTCGCATTTCGCCGATTTGCATAAGTGGTTGCGAGAAGCATTATTGGATGCGCGCGCGCGACCCAGTAGTGCATCGCGCTACAACTGTTAAAATTGATTGTGCATCCGCAATTCGGTTTGTTTGAATAGAACAGCTAAGTTTATAATATAATTAAAACACCCATCAGCAACGTGAAATTACAGTATATATATATACATTCAATTACATCTTGCAAAAACTGTGATGCAATTGGCAGAGCACAGTCAAATTTTGTTAGTGTTGCAATTGGCAAAGCACAATACATTTTTACAAATAATTACCAATATTTTTTTAAAACGTGAAATTGAGCCACACAAGCGAAACGATCCTAAAAACCAAACCAAACCTGCAAACATTTGTAGCAGGTATAATATAAGGGTACCCTTCAGTACCACAGTACCACATATAGATGGTTTATATAAGAGGGCGTATAACCTCGAATAGTTCGACCGCCCTTGTGTACACTGTATTATAGTACACTACAATGTAAAAAAAGTAAGAAAAGAATATTCAAACAATATACACATAATATAGCAATGGCCAATTGGCTGACTATAAGGTCATGGCCTGAACAAACAATTTTTTTTAAATAGTCAAGTGATGCTAAAGCAGAGCACAAATGTGTAATAAGTTAATAGATTAAAAAACTGATTCATGTGATGCATTCGCAGAGCACAGATAAAAATACTGATTCAATGATTAAAATTATAGCTGTGAGTGTCAATAAATTACTGTGTCGTAAAAAAAGGAACGATGTACACGTGATCTGAAATGCCAATATCTCAATATCAAAAGGATAGTGTCTAGAAACATTCATAGTCCATGGTGGCAGGTATCAAGTTAAACGAAGTTACACTGACTGGCAATGTATACGATTGCCGTCTCCCTCTCTCACCCCTGACCGCTATCAGGGTGCTCCTGAGGATTGAGAATCTAATCCTGGTGCGCATGTAACACATAATAGCCGCATAGTCTTCTCCTCTCTTCTGGGATAGTTTTTCAGCGAGTCTCTTGTGGTATCTTGTGGCTTGTGGACCCCATCCGCCATTTGTTGAGTATATAAGTGGAGTAAAGGTGCCTTTTTCCACCTGGATGATTCTGTTGTTGTACTTTTTCATTTTCCTCATTTCATGAGCTTTATAGATCTGTTCCATATCTTTTTTGTCATATGTGGGTGAGTTGGGGTGGGTAACACAGACATCAAAGAATGTTCGTTCAAATGTGCTCCAGAGACCTCGTGAGGATACATCAGGTGCAGCTCTATCAGCATTGGTACCAACAATTTCTTCATTATCAAGGGGTATCAATGCTGGCTCAGTCACTACATCTCTGCATACTTCACGCTGCAGCTCTGCATTTAGATCGCGGATGTTGTTGTGTCTCATAGAAACATAGCCACCTTTCTTGCATATAAGTGTGTGATTCACATTATTTCTATCTCCACAAGCACAGTGAAATGGGGTGTTAGGGATCTCCCAACCATAACGCAAGTACAGAGCATCACGGAACTCAATCTTGTTCAGGGAGTAGCCAAATCTCTTCAATGGAAGTGCAGTAAGCCAACATCCTGAACCTTTCTCTTTGATGAACTGGAGGGATCTCTTTAGGTTGGGATCTCTTACACTGTCCTCTATTGATTTGCTAACCGTAAATAAGTGTTTCTCCTTGATTGCCTTGAGACTTTTTATAGTGTCATTTTGAATTGACATGTTGTAATGTTCAAGGGTGTTTTGCTGGTTGATAATCAGGTCTGTGAGGTCTTTTGTATGTAAATGGCACAGGCACCCCTCTTAATTTAACCCTCAGTCAAGTTTCCTATCATCGACCGAGTCGACGGAAGAGATCTCTAGATCCAACGAATCCTTATGTACTCCCTAGACTGGGTGACACTGGGATTCGAATCCTGGACCTTTTACACAGAAGGCAGAAGCTCTAACCACTAGCCCACCTATCTTGGATGGGGCGGGGGTCTAACATAGCCCAAAATAGCATACACAATACATGTTATGTTATGTGAACGATCCCCATTTATATCATACCATCTGCAACAACGACCTTCAGTCCTGTCAGGTTCATTCCAGATTGAACTATTTGTGCTCTAGGACTGAACTGAGAAACACCTGTCAGGATAGCTGCATCAACCTTGAATTTCTGCTTTTGTTTTTATTATTGGCTCCAACTGAAGCCATAAAGCTAAAGACGTTTGGTCGGCATGGCTATTCTAAACCTCAGCAAAAGTTAAAATACCTGGCAACCCTTGGGAAATGCAATGTGTGTCAAGGTATATACGGTTTTGCAGTGATTCGGAATCAAAATCGAACAATAAATTGGAAATGGCAACAAAAATTTGGAATCAGGATTTTGTAACGGCCAGCATTGTGGTAATAGTGTGGTCAGTGTATTTTCTTTTAATCAAAAATGTTTTCCAGAACCAACAGAACCGCAGTAAAGTGTTGTGCACAAGAGATGTTTACTTTACTAATGTTGTGATACTAAAATCACCTAATTTGTCCAATTTTACGTTTTACATTAAGAGGGAGAGGAGGCGCCAACAGGGGGGGGGGGGGTGCCTACATGCAACGTTACACCACTGCAGTCTTAAACAAAATATATAGCTGCAGAGTATCAACATAAGTAAGAAATTGCTAGTCTTCCTTGACGTCTTAATATATGAAGATGCCAATAATACACTTTTAATAATTTTGCAGTGGAAACAGAAACAACATAAAATTGCACCTACTCTACCTCAAAGCAACAAATTTTACCGTTTGCATCTGGGGCACTGTTATCCTTGAAAAATATAGCTACCTGATACAAATTAAATCATGATTTATAAATGATTTATAATGCCTCTCTGGGCATCTCAAAAAGAAATTCATAGAAAATGAACACTTTACGTTTGAAACCATATAATTACAAACTTTAAAAAAATTCAACTAAATACCTTTGATATTAACCTTCTTCCTCTTAGCTACCAATGGATTCTCTTTCATATAACTTACATAACTATTCCTATTAAACACAGACACATCTATCCTATCAAAGATGTCATATATCAATATATACAATAAATTAAATCAAGTGATGCAATTGGCAGAGCACAATCGTAAATCCTGAGCAATAGGTATCATCTATCACTCGTAGCATGATTCAACTGCTGGCCCAAGCTAATTGTAAATGGTGCTGCAATATAAGTTGCTTATTGTGTGGCGGGATGACAACTAACTAAAAAAGAAAAATAAACTTGTATAATAATTAATTCAGCTGAACCAACACATAGCAAGAGCCACATTAACATTGGGGCTGTCTACCAAATTTGAATGACAAACAATAACAAGAAATCAAACATATCATAAATAGTTATAAGTATTTTGCTCATCACAATTCTGTCACAACTGAGAACAAGAACAAGAATTGCGCCCGTTATTCGTTTTGGCAAACGCTAGATTTCCATTTCCTATAACTATAAATATAAGCTCTAATCAGCTCACTTTATAATAATAATATTGAAACACATCAGTACACTACACGTGCTATTTAAACGCCATGTACAAATTGGGCTTATTACCTAATACTATACATAACATAGTATACAATAAAATCGTGCTGCGCATTCATTGACCACAAGTTAGCTATACACCACATCTCCGCAAGCAATCCTCGCGCGCCCGGTAAGTTGTCATGGTAACTAACGAACGAACGAAAGGAATGACACCATATTCACTATTGCCTTTTTACAAAAGGGTGAAATGGAAAAAATAAGGGAGACAAGTGGACGGGAAATCGGACGGACAGAATTATAACCAACAAAAAACACATTTCTGGAAAGCTAATCTGGCCAGACTGTATCGGCAGCCCAGAGATACTTGATCAGTCTGGCCCTAAAAGTAGAAATCCGCTCTGACTGCCGGATACATACTGGTAGACTATTCCACTGGTAGACTATTCCAATTCAGTATCACACCCCCCACTGGTAGTCACTGTGTTCAACATCCCACCCCCCCCCCCCCTCCCCCAATACTAACCACCTAATCTCAGACAATTTAAAAACACTTTATGGCTACACTAAAAGTCTGGAAATTGTCTCACTGCTTCTGAAGTTCATATCCTACAACCAATGAAATATAAAATGATGCTCTAAAACTGCTATTAACAAAAACCAGTTTCGCCCTTTTTCCCAGACTCCTTTCAGCAACGATAACCATAGTTAACTATAGATAACTGCCAGTTAAGAAATCAAGTCCACAAATTGTTAAAACTGTCTTGCTAATAATTGTCAATAATTGGGTTGTTTTACCCATGGCATGAGGTTTCAGATATGATACTAATTCCTATTAAAATGTTTGCTTAGAAACGTGATAAGTGTCCACATATTCTATTATAAGGTATTAACTCATTTTAACAGCTCCCAATCGTTTAGGATGCTTGACAAGTTCAAGACCAAGTCTGCCCGTGTTAAAGGTAAAACGAAATTTTAAAAACACTTGATTAGTGATGAAGCTTTCTCAGGACCAAATTTTGAAGTTTTAAATACTTGTTAATGAAAGTCCACAGATAAAGTCACCACCTAAATGTTTCCTTTCAACCAGGAATATCATTCCACACAACACGACCATGGGTTCTAGCCTCGCTCCACTCTGGAGTAATCCAACTCTGGGACTACAGGATGGGTACCCTGATAGAGAAGTTTGACGAACATGACGGTCCTGTTAGAGGAGTTCACTTCCACATCTCTCAACCATTGTTTGTGTCTGGTGGTGATGATTACAAGATCAAGGTTTACTTCTTCTTAGTTCTTTTATACGATATTAAGAGTTCAAGCATATTTGGTGATCTTTTCCAGATTCATTTACTGAATGGTTCATTTTATTCCTCGACATTCAAAGCACGTTCATGCATCTGGAGTTGTTCACCCAATTAAAACCATTTCACTGCAGGTTTGGAACTACAAGCAAAGGAAATGTCTGTTCACAATGTTGGGTCACCTCGATTACATTCGGACCACGTTCTTCCACGACGAGCACCCTTGGATAGTGAGCTGTTCTGACGATCAGACCATCAGGATCTGGAACTGGCAGAGCCGCTCTTGTATCAGGTTAGAGATCACTTACTTCTCCTGTAAAACTTATTTACAGACTAACTCAGTTATTAATTACTAATTAATTAATTAATTAATTACTCCGTTTTCTGCAATGTATAATGTTTCGTATCTGGACTTTGACAGCCTTTTATTATGATATATGTACATTTAGTACAAGGTGAGTAATGGTAGGTAAGGTGTCTGTAATTCCGGGTTTATATAGTAGATTATAATCCTGTGTTAGTGTTAAACATGTTAGGGATCCAGGAAACAAATATATAATGTGTTTTTACAGAATAATATTAATATTACGTAAAATATTAACACACATGTTTGTCTCCAGCTCTAACAACCCAACTCTCAGTGTACTAACAGGACATGTTTGTCTGCAGATCTAACAACCCCACTCTCAGTGTACTAACAGGACATGTTTGTCTGCAGATCTAACAACCCCACTCTCAGTGTACTAACAGGACATGTTTGTCTCCAGCTCTAACAACCCCACTCTCAGTGTACTAACAGGACATGTTTGTCTCCAGCTCTAACAACCCCACTCTCAGTGTACTAACAGGACATGTGTGTCTCCAGCTCTAACAACCCCACTCTCAGTGTACTAACAGGACATGTGTGTCTCCAGATCTAACAACCCAACTCTCAGTGTACTAACAGGACATGTGTGTCTCCAGCTCTAACAACCCCACTCTCAGTGTACTAACAGGACATGTTTGTCTCCAGCTCTAACAACCCCACTCTCAGTGTACTAACAGGACATGTTTGTCTCCAGATCTAACAACCCAACTCTCAGTGTACTAACAGGACATGTGTGTCTCCAGCTCTAACAACCCCACTCTCAGTGTACTAACAGGACATGTTTGTCTCCAGCTCTAACAACCCCACTCTCAGTGTACTAACAGGACATGTGTGTCTCCAGCTCTAACAACCCCACTCTCAGTGTACTAACAGGACATGTTTGTCTCCAGCTCTAACAACCCCACTCTCAGTGTACTAACAGGACATGTTTGTCTCCAGCTCTAACAACCCAACTCTCAGTGTACTAACAGGACATGTTTGTCTCCAGATCTAACAACCCAACTCTCAGTGTACTAACAGGACATGTTTGTCTCCAGCTCTAACAACCCCACTCTCAGTGTACTAACAGGACATGTTTGTCTCCAGCTCTAACAACCCAACTCTCAGTGTACTAACAGGACATGTTTGTCTCCAGATCTAACAACCCCACTCTCAGTGTACTAACAGGACATGTTTGTCTCCAGCTCTAACAACCCAACTCTCAGTGTACTAACAGGACATGTTTGTCTCCAGCTCTAACAACCCCACTCTCAGTGTACTAACAGGACATGTTTGTCTCCAGATCTAACTACCCCACTCTCAGTGTACTAACAGGACATGTTTGTCTCCAGCTCTAACAACCCAACTCTCAGTGTACTAACAGGACATGTTTGTCTCCAGCTCTAACAACCCAACTCTCAGTGTACTAACAGGACATGTTTGTCTCCAGCTCTAACAACCCAACTCTCAGTGTACTAACAGGACATGTTTGTCTCCAGCTCTAACAACCCAACTCTCAGTGTACTAACAGGACATGTTTGTCTCCAGCTCTAACAACCCCACTCTCAGTGTACTAACAGGACATGTTTGTCTCCAGATCTAACTACCCCACTCTCAGTGTACTAACAGGACATGTTTGTCTCCAGCTCTAACAACCCAACTCTCAGTGTACTAACAGGACATGTTTGTCTCCAGCTCTAACAACCCAACTCTCAGTGTACTAACAGGACATGTTTGTCTCCAGCTCTAACAACCCAACTCTCAGTGTACTAACAGGACATGTTTGTCTCCAGCTCTAACAACCCAACTCTCAGTGTACTAACAGGACATGTTTGTCTCCAGCTCTAACAACCCCACTCTCAGTGTACTAACAGGACATGTTTGTCTCCAGATCTAACAACCCAACTCTCAGTGTACTAACAGGACATGTTTGTCTCCAGCTCTAACAACCCCACTCTCAGTGTACTAACAGGACATGTTTGTCTCCAGATCTAACAACCCAACTCTCAGTGTACTAACAGGACATGTTTGTCTCCAGCTCTAACAACCCAACTCTCAGTGTACTAACAGGACATGTTTGTCTCCAGCTCTAACAACCCAACTCTCAGTGTACTAACAGGACATGTTTGTCTCCAGCTCTAACAACCCCACTCTCAGTGTACTAACAGGACATGTTTGTCTCCAGATCTAACTACCCCACTCTCAGTGTACTAACAGGACATGTTTGTCTCCAGCTCTAACAACCCAACTCTCAGTGTACTAACAGGACATGTTTGTCTCCAGCTCTAACAACCCAACTCTCAGTGTACTAACAGGACATGTTTGTCTCCAGCTCTAACAACCCCACTCTCAGTGTACTAACAGGACATGTTTGTCTCCAGATCTAACAACCCAACTCTCAGTGTACTAACAGGACATGTGTGTCTCCAGCTCTAACAACCCCACTCTCAGTGTACTAACAGGACATGTTTGTCTCCAGCTCTAACAACCCCACTCTCAGTGTACTAACAGGACATGTGTGTCTCCAGCTCTAACAACCCCACTCTCAGTGTACTAACAGGACATGTTTGTCTCCAGCTCTAACAACCCCACTCTCAGTGTACTAACAGGACATGTTTGTCTCCAGCTCTAACAACCCAACTCTCAGTGTACTAACAGGACATGTTTGTCTCCAGATCTAACAACCCAACTCTCAGTGTACTAACAGGACATGTTTGTCTCCAGCTCTAACAACCCCACTCTCAGTGTACTAACAGGACATGTTTGTCTCCAGCTCTAACAACCCAACTCTCAGTGTACTAACAGGACATGTTTGTCTCCAGATCTAACAACCCCACTCTCAGTGTACTAACAGGACATGTTTGTCTCCAGCTCTAACAACCCAACTCTCAGTGTACTAACAGGACATGTTTGTCTCCAGCTCTAACAACCCCACTCTCAGTGTACTAACAGGACATGTTTGTCTCCAGATCTAACTACCCCACTCTCAGTGTACTAACAGGACATGTTTGTCTCCAGCTCTAACAACCCAACTCTCAGTGTACTAACAGGACATGTTTGTCTCCAGCTCTAACAACCCAACTCTCAGTGTACTAACAGGACATGTTTGTCTCCAGCTCTAACAACCCAACTCTCAGTGTACTAACAGGACATGTTTGTCTCCAGCTCTAACAACCCAACTCTCAGTGTACTAACAGGACATGTTTGTCTCCAGCTCTAACAACCCCACTCTCAGTGTACTAACAGGACATGTTTGTCTCCAGATCTAACTACCCCACTCTCAGTGTACTAACAGGACATGTTTGTCTCCAGCTCTAACAACCCAACTCTCAGTGTACTAACAGGACATGTTTGTCTCCAGCTCTAACAACCCAACTCTCAGTGTACTAACAGGACATGTTTGTCTCCAGCTCTAACAACCCAACTCTCAGTGTACTAACAGGACATGTTTGTCTCCAGCTCTAACAACCCAACTCTCAGTGTACTAACAGGACATGTTTGTCTCCAGCTCTAACAACCCCACTCTCAGTGTACTAACAGGACATGTTTGTCTCCAGATCTAACAACCCAACTCTCAGTGTACTAACAGGACATGTTTGTCTCCAGCTCTAACAACCCCACTCTCAGTGTACTAACAGGACATGTTTGTCTCCAGATCTAACAACCCAACTCTCAGTGTACTAACAGGACATGTTTGTCTCCAGCTCTAACAACCCAACTCTCAGTGTACTAACAGGACATGTTTGTCTCCAGCTCTAACAACCCAACTCTCAGTGTACTAACAGGACATGTTTGTCTCCAGCTCTAACAACCCCACTCTCAGTGTACTAACAGGACATGTTTGTCTCCAGATCTAACTACCCCACTCTCAGTGTACTAACAGGACATGTTTGTCTCCAGCTCTAACAACCCAACTCTCAGTGTACTAACAGGACATGTTTGTCTCCAGATCTAACAACCCCACTCTCAGTGTACTAACAGGACATAACCACTACGTGATGTGCGCGCAGTTCCACCCTAAACAGGACCTTGTAGTGTCCGCTAGTTTGGACCAGACAGTAAGAGTCTGGGACATTACCGGACTGAGAAGGAAGAGAGCTCAGCCTGGGTCAGGTGAGTTAGTCACGTGTTAGTCACATGTTAGTCACGTGTTAGTCACTAACGTGTCATTTAATATCAATACAATCAACTCATAGATTCAGCTTTCTGTCATGTTGATAAAATCAATGTTATTTTCCGTGTTTTGTCAAGAACTGGAGCGGTAATTATTTGTATTACTGATTGAGAGGGGACCCCCCCTGATTGATGATTAATGATGGGCATGGAATGATCTGGTAAGAATGTTTGTTATGTCGTCTACGAGTAGATGGTGGTGAATCTTATCTCTGGTTGAAGTGACGTCACATGTTAGTGACTAAGTGAATTCAATGTAATAATTTCAGCCGATACATTTCGCACCCAAACACCAGGTCAGATAGATCTGTTTGGACAGAGTGATGCGCTCGTGAAGCACGTGCTGGAGGGACACGACCGAGGAGTTAACTGGGTCCACTTCCATCCTACCCAACCTCTAATTGTTAGCGGTAAGTTAACTGGGCCCACTTCCATCCTACCCAACCTCTAATTGTTAGCAGTAAGTTAACTGGGCCCACTTCCATCCTACCCAACCTCTAATTGTTAGCGGTAAGTTAACTGGGCCCACTTCTATCCTACCCAACCTCTAATTGTTAGCGGTAAGTTAACTGGGCCCACTTTCGTCCTACCCAACCTCTAATTGTTAGCGGTAAGTTAACTGGGCCCACTTCCATCCTACTCAACCTCTAATTGTTAGCGGTAAGTTAACTGGGCCCACTTTCGTCCTACCCAACCTCTAATTGTTAGCGGTAAGTTAACTGGGCCCACTTCCATCCTACCCAACCTCTAATTGTTAGCGGTAAGTTAACTGGGCCCACTTCCATCCTACCCAACCTCTAATTGTTAGCAGTAAGTTAACTGGGCCCACTTTCGTCCTACCCAACCTCTAATTGTTACTTTGTTAGCGGTAAGTTAACTGGGCCCACTTTCGTCCTACCCAACCTCTAATTGTTAGCGGTAAGTTAACTGGGCCCACTTTCGTCCTACTTAACCTCTAATTGTTAGCGGCAAGTTAATCAACTTTGTAGAGGGGGAGAGAGGTAATTCCCATTTGTATCGATCGGAAATTAATTGAATGGTTGTAAACTCCACAAGTTTTATTCACATTATGTAAGTAATAAACAGCAGTAAGTGGTTAGTTACTGGTTAGTAAGAGTCTAGTTAGAGGTTACTTACTGGTTAGTAAGAGGCTAGTTAGAGGTTAGTTAGAGGTTAGTTAGAGGTTAGTTAGTGCTTAGTTAGAGGTTAGTTTGTGGTTAGTTCTGCACATGTTCACATGACGATATTACTACCTGTCAGCACAGTACACGTTCAATTAGTTCCAATGGTCGGATCTTATGGGTAATGACTTTAAGTTGCTCTGGTTACTATGGTGATATTGCTCTGGTCGGGCGCGCTTCTAATTTTGAGTTCCTGTCAAGAAGATTGTATCCTGTAACTAATGAAGCGTATCTGGTATCTTATATATGTAGTATCTTATTTACTTGTCAGAAACAATTAGTATGGGAGTTTTTGGCTTCGTAATTATTTTAATTTTCTGTAACGTCATCCGAATCTCACGGTATTTATGTTAAACAAGTTTCCGTCTGACAGAGCTTACAGTGATGATTTTGGGAGATTTAACAGGAATATTTACAAAGGAGTGATTCTCACATTTAACATATTATCAGAGGAGGATATTTTATATATAGTAGGATTGTGCAGAAACATTAAAATATCGATATTATATACCTGTCATTAAGGAAGAGTTCCTCTTACTAATTCACAGAATCGTGATTTAAACAAATGTTTCAAACAATTATCATCAGAAATGCGGCCATTTATATCGTTACCATAATAAGTTGCAGGCTGAGTTATATTTCTGTTAGTCTGATATAATATACAGGGTTTCTCCGTCGGAAGAGGCTATATCTCACTTCAGAGAGACTATAATATATATCTATATAATATATAGATATTATATCCCACACTGATCAGGAACATTCGTCAGAGAACGAACTAGAAATGCTATAGGAATGAGATATTTAACAATGTGAAGCTAAGATAAGCCCACCAGGAGCGGACGATAGACAGGTGAAGTTGTGGAGGTTTAACGAGGCGCGCGCATGGGAGGTGGACACGTGCAGGGGGCATTACAACAATGTCAGCAATGTTATCTTCCATCCTAGAAATGAGATTATAATCTCTAACTCCGAGGATAAGAGCATTAGGTGAGTACTTCAAGATTAGGATTAATAGTACTGCTGTTTTCATGTAGAGCGGCTTTAACATAATATTTTCAACTTATATTAATTCTGCGTAAACCAATCCAAATTTTATAAGGGGGAGTCATACAAAAGTCATTAAATTATATCAAACTATTACTTTAAACCCACCTAATTACGATAAACTCCCAGATTGTGGGACCTGAACAAGAGGAACTGTGTAAATACCTTCAGAGGAGAAGATAGATACTGGTGTATAACTGCTCACCCTGCTCTCAACTTATTTGCTGCAGGTTTCATCTCTTAAGTAGTCTGTAGTTACCTGACTAGTGACTACTAACACGACAAGTTCACATTTCACTTGCTAAACCGTACCCGGTTGTTTACATGGAAATAAATACAGCTTCCCTATATAGTATACAATGTTACACTACTGCACTGTCAGTGTTATACTGCACTGTCAGTGTTACACTGCACTGTCAGCGTTACACTGCACTGTCAGTGTTACACTGCACTGTCAGTGTTACACTGCACTGTCAGCGTTACACTGCACTGTCAGCGTTACACTGCACTGTCAGTGTTACACTGCACTGTCAGCGTTACACTGCACTGTCAGTGTTACACTGCACTGTCAGTGTATACCATATTAGTTATTACTACCAGTTCTTGTCCAGGTCATGATAACGGAATGATAATATTCAAGCTGGAGCGGGAGAGACCAGCCAGTGTGGTCCACGAGAACTCTGTCTTCTTCATCAAGGACAGGTTCCTGAGAAAATACACCTTCGGTAGTGGCAAGGATGTTGCTGTACTGCAGCTCAAACACGGTCAGTACTCAGTAGATACACTATACAGACCTTTTTATAATCCTTGTTATGACCTGTTTCCAACCCGCTATACCTATAAACACACCTATAAACACACCTATAAACACACCTATAAACACACCTATAAACACACCTATAAACACACCTATAAACATTAAACACACCTATAAACTCACCTATAAACACACCTATAAATAAACCTATAAACACACCTATAAACACACCTATAAACACACCTATAAACACACTATAAACACACCTATAAACACACCTATAAACACACACTATTTGCAGGAGACAGCAACTGTCAGCCCAACTGTTTGTCCTACAACCCCGCTGAGAGCAGTATTATAGTGTCCACTGTAAACAGCAGTAAGAATGCAGGCACCACCTACTACGAGGTGTACCAGATAGGCAAGGATAGAGGTGATAGAAATGACGTTCAGATGGGTGAAGGTACTCGTTTTACTAACTAAACCGTGACCTTATCCAAGAGAAGTTGTCATCCAAAAAAAGTTCCCAAAAATTCCCCGTACCCTCTAATAACATGAACACCAAGCTAATGCTTGTTCTAGATCACTGAATATGGAATCTGTACTTTAGACACATACAATATCGAATATTGAAACTTGTTAAAACTTGTTTAAAGTTCAAACATATTTAAACCCATTGTAAAAGGTACCAAATATCTGAAAATAAATCTTAGATCCACTCTGAAGTTTAAAGCTTAGTTTACTTAGAAACAGTAGTTCCTGGTATTATACTTAGTACCTGATCCCCCAAAACCCCCCCCCCCCCCCCGCCCCCGGCCCCCGGCCCCCCTCCCCCCCGCCCCCCCCCCCCCCCTAGTTACTAGATCCTGGTTTTCTGAATAATCTTGTAAAATGTCCAGGCATGAATAATGAAAACCGTGCAGGTAAGAGAATGAAAGGTGTGACCGCTGTTTGGGTAGCACGAAACAGGTACGCTGCTCTGGATAGCTCCGGAAAACTACTTGTTAAATCAAGCAGCCACGAGGTAAAATATATTTACACTTAAACTACCCGGCCAAACTACTTGTTAAATCAAGCAGCCACGAGGTAAAATATAGTTAGACTTAAACTACCCGGCCTCAAGCAGCCACGAGGTAAAACATAGTTAGACTTAAACTACCCGGCCTACTTGTTAAATCAAGCAGCCACGAGGTAAAACATAGTTAGACTTAAACTACCCGGCCTCAAGCAGCCACGAGGTAAAACATAGTTAGACTTAAACTACCCGGCCTACTTGTTAAATCAAGCAGCCACGAGGTAAAATATATTTAGACTTAAACTACCCGGCCTACTTGTTAAATCAAGCAGCCACGAGGTAAAATATATTTAGACTTAAACTACTTGTTAAATCAAGCAGCCACGAGGTAAAATATATTTAGACTTTAACTACCCGACCTCATTTTAACTTGTTAAATCAAGCAGCCACGAGGTAAAATATAGTTAGACTTTAACTACCCGGCCTACTTGTTAAATCAAGCAGCCACGAGGTAAAATATAGTTAGACTTTAACTACCCGGCCTACTTGTTAAATCAAGCAGCCACGAGGTAAAATATATTTAGACTTTAACTACCCGACCTCATTTTAACTTGTTAAATCAAGCAGCCACGAGGTAAAATATATTTAGACTTAAACTACCCGGCCTCACTTCACAATCCAAACCCGGCCTCATTTTAACGCTTACCGGGCATCTTAAATCTTCACAACTTAAACCCGGCCTCATTTTAACGCTTACCGGGCATCTTAAATCTTTACAACCCAAACCCGGCCTCATTTTAACGTTTACCGGGCATCTTAAATCTTTACAACCCAAACCCGGCCTCATTTTAACGCTTACCGGGCATCTTAAATCTTTACAACTTAAACCCGGCCTCATTTTAACGCTTACCGGGCATCTTAAATCTTCACAATTTAAACCCGGCCTCATTTTAACGTTTACCGGGCATCTTAAATCTTTACAACCCAAACCCGGCCTCATTTTAACGTTTACCGGGCATCTTAAATCTTTACAACCCAAACCCGGCCTCATTTTAACGCTTACCGGGCATCTTAAATCTTCACAACTCGAACCCGGCCTGATTTTGACGTTTACCGGGCATCTTAAATCTTCACAACTCGAACCCGGCCTGATTTTGACGTTTACCGGGCATCTTAAATCTTCACAACTTAAACCCGGCCTCATTTTAACGCTTACCGGGCATCTTAAATCTTCATATCACAAATCCGGCCTCATTTCAACGCTTACCGGGCATCTTAAATCTTTACAACCCAAACCCGGCCTCCATTTTAACGCTTACCGGGCATCTTAAATCTTCACAACTCAAACCCGGCCTCATTTTAACGCTTACCGGGCATCTTAAATCTTCATATCACAAATCCGGCCTCATTTCAACGCTTACCGGGCATCTTAAATCTTTACAACCCAAACCCGGCCTCCATTTTAACGCTTACCGGGCATCTTAAATCTTCACAACCCAAACCCGGCCTGATTTTAACGCTTACCGGGCATCTTAAATCTTCACAACTCAAACCCGGCCTCATTTTAACGCTTACCGGGCATCTTAAATCTTCACAACTTAAACCCAGCCTCATTTTAACGCTTACCGGGCATCTTAAATCTTCACAACTCAAACCCGGCCTCATTTTAACGCTTACCGGGCATCTTAAATCTTCACAACTTAAACCCGGCCTCATTTTAACGCTTACCGGGCATCTTAAATCTTCACAACTCAAACCCGGCCTCATTTTAACGCTTACCGGGCATCTTAAATCTTCACAACTCAAACCCGGCCTCATTTTAACGCTTACCGGGCATCTTAAATCTTCATAACTTAAACCCGGCTTGATTTTAACGCTTACCGGGCATCTTAAATCTTCACAACTTAAACCCAGCCTCATTTTAACGCTTACCGGGCATCTTAAATCTTCACAACTTAAAACCGGCCTCATTTTAACGCTTACCGGTCATCTTAAATCTTCATAACTTAAGCGAATGGACTCTAACGACATGAAAACTGAAAAGTTAACATCGTAAATTTTAAAATTTCAAAATCCGAGTAACTTCAATCTACAGGATCAAAAAGTTAATTAATTCTATCTTGATAATTAATTCACTATTATTTTCTTCTCTAAAATGAAACTTTATAAAACTGCTCTAATGCTTGGTGCACTGTGTAGGGGACCCTGTATTAATAACCGAGATACTAACTTTATATTTTGTAATTTGTTTTAAAGAGGTTTAACCTAGGTCGAGTTTAGTGCGGATTAGATAATAAAGTTAACCTCTGCTCTAGCTCTGGATCTAATCAGAAATCAAGAAATTCCATCTTTACATATTTAACAGCGCTGCTTACCTTTAGTGCTGTGTTAAACCTCAGTGAAATCTTCTGCTGCTCTTAACAGCAAGATTTAACCGTGCCCGGTCTACCGCGGCCATTTCCTCCCCCAAATAAGGATTAACATACATAATGTACATAACATTAGCATACATAATTATAATGTAAACAACCAAAACCCCGATTTACCCAAAACCCAGATTCACCGCGGCATTTTCCTTTCCCCAAATAAGGATTAACATACACAATGTACATAACATTAGCATACATAATTATAATGTAAACAACCAAAACCCCGATTTACCCAAAACCCCGATTCACCGCAGCATTTTCCTTTCCCCAAACTCCGCGATAAATAGGGGTATTACTGTATACTGTTACTTGAAAACAGTAAACATACCACCGACCACTGATACTAGAACTGTTGTAATGGTAGTAATAGCAGTGGAAGGGGGGGGGGGGGGGGGGGGGGGGGTAGAAGCAGTGTAACAACTGACCTCTCCTCTACGATTTAAACCTTGCCTTCAAATAATGCTTTAGCAGAACGATCGAATGTGATAAAACGGATAAATTCAGAATGGCACGAGATGCTGACTTCTGAAAGCTTCTTAATATATTACCCTGATTTAGTACAGATGTACGCTCTGTGGGGATAGTAACTCCAAATTACTACGAGGTTATTACGTTATGATGATGCTCAATGAAAATCGTATCTAAGTCGACAAATATTTCTTAATTCTTATCACTCATCGACTATGAAAGGAATTATTACAATTTCCATATAAACTTACTTGCTGTGCAGCTGAGAGGTGATCCTTCAGGATAACATGTGGTGTGACGTCATAACACGTGGTGTGACGTCATAACACATGGTGTGACGTCATAACACGTGGTGTGACGTCATAACACATGGTGTGACGTCATAACACATGGTGTGACGTCACAGTGATCCTTCACATCACTGGTAACTTTTCCAATAATATTATAAAGTTGATCGAACTGTGAAATATACATTCCATTGTAAAATTCCATCGCATCATGTGTGATTCTACTCCATTCCAGTTATCAACACTTACCAAGATCGAATAGAATTGTTGCCGATAAATCTATCGCTCTATGAATCATTACGCCAAATTCTTCATGTAAATCGAACTATGTCCAAATTTGGATTAACTTTATTAAGTTTCCAAGTAACTAGAGCGTATTATAGTGTCTGTCCCTTGTTTGTTCGCTATCTGTTTTATGTCTGTTGTTTATCTATTATTACTTGTTTATAACTTTATTACTTATTTATCTGCCCCCCCCCCCCCCCCCCCCCCCCCCCCCCCCCCGTATCTGTCTGTGCTTTGTTTGTACCATTACCATTTACCAATTTATACTGTTTCTAGTAATCTACGCAATTTTTGTAGAATTTAAAATACTTTTACTTGAATAATAATTACGTTGTTCTGAGATAAAGAAAACTCTGACAAAATAGACGCATTTTCAACCACAATAAATAATATATTACTTAAAATCATCTTACACACATACAACTTGTAGAATAACAAATAAAAATTAATTATAATATCAGAACAAATTACAACTTACTTAATAGATTGTTTATACATGATAGCTAACTAATTTGGATTACGTCATCACTTAATCAGTTACCCAGACTTGGAATTACAGTTTACAGGAATCATGAAGGTTTTACGTTACAAAAATAGACTAATACGTCACCAGTGTTACAATTGTGAGTGTTACATAACATGTAATAAGAGTGTTACAAATGTGAGTGTTACATATGTTACATGTAACAAGAGTGTTACATAGTTTAGGAATCGGTTACTTCATTAAGGGGGCCGGGGGGGTCCCCTTAAAACCACACGTTAACAATTAATTCGGTACAAGTAACCACAGTTAATTTATCCTTATTTACTACTGTAACAACATATTTCCTATAAATTACTATAAGTCTAACTATAACTTATGTTTTGTTGATGAAGAGTCTATTTAAATAACAGATACCTAAAATAACATGCACCCATTTTAATACAATACTCAGATCACGTGTCTAATACCCTCAAGCTTAACTAACATTGTATAATAGTGTAGATATAAAATGTAGAAAAGTCTAAAAAATAAAAAAAGAAAACGTTCGATATAATATAAGCTCGAGCAAACCGGTACAAATACGATAGATATTATCAGTAAGTTCCACAAATAATTACTTCATCATTATAAACAACGACCACAGATATAACTTCGATTAAGTGTTTGTTAATTGCGTAAAATCTGTTCATTACAGTTTTAGTCTTCATCAGTGCTTTAATGACGTCACCATGCCAAATTTAACGTCACTGTAATGTCTATGACGTCATCAGTCCACCCTCTGGCTACTCAGTCTCACTTTCTGGCATGCTTGGAGGAGACCAACTCTGATGTCTCAAATAAATCTGTTATAACGTGCTACTACTTATTATATTAGTAGTGCTACTAGTTAGTAGTAGAGTATTATCAGCTCACTTCTCAGCTCCTTCCAACTTTATACCCACGTCCACATCGGGAGAGAGAGAGCCAGCTCCTCCGTTACTCACATTCATAGAGTTGAGATTGGAGAGGAGACTGACAGTGTCCAACATAGCGCGGTGGTTCTGGTATATACTGGTGATGTCAGTGGTGGGGGCCCCGGCGCTGGTGCTGATGCCGCGCTGTTCTAACAGTGCCTTCTGGTACAGTGCAGACAGGTTGTTCATACTGGTGGGGGGCGAGAACTTGTGTTCTGATTTGGGGGGAGTGAGGAGTCCAATATTAGCGGGGGAGGCGAGGATAGAGGAGGAGGTGGGGGTGTAGGGGGCACTGCTGGTAGTGCCCTCAAACAAGCCCTTGTTGTTCTGGTAGAACGAGGTCAGGGCGGCTTCCTTTACGTGTATAGGGACCTGACAAAAGTAAAACGTTTATCAGGGGAACATGATAATTGTGTGGGCAGGGCCCTGGGTCATTGTGTTAAGTATCTTGAGTAGCCGTATTAGTCGTATGGCATCTTAGTTTATGGTATCTCAATTAAGATGTCGGTATCGTGGCAATAATGTTGCTGAGAAAGTCGCATCAAAATTAAACGTAAATTCCGGAATCCCGACTATTTTCAACAAGTAGGTTGAAGAAGAGAGCGAAGTAATATTCTCGAGAAATTATGGAGGATAGGTGACAAGGGAATTTGCCAATTTTCTAACCAGAACAAATTAGAGAATTGTCTAAAAGTTGAATAGATTCTCTCGGCAGTCGGCTTATCGTTGCACAGTTAACAACTTGATCATACTTTGTTCAGCTCACAAACTGAACAGATCTACCTCAAAACAACACTAAATCTAGACATTAATCTTACCTGTTCTTTCTTTACACTCTCGAGCAGAGCTTTATGGTTCCTGTAAAGGAAGGTAAGATGATCAGGGGAGTTAGGAGCGAAGGAGGTTTTGATACTGAGGTGGGAGGGGGGCTGGAAGACACTGTCTTGAAGCTGTTCTGAGGGAAAATTAGAGGGGTTAGTCTTCAGACGCTTCGACATTATAGGAATTAGGACTTGAATCTATTAGTTTCATATTCTTCCTCAATATCACGCAAAACCGGCTCTATGATAAAATTCAATCTGGCTAACAAAAGAAGATAAGAAAGTAGTAGTACTCACAATTACCTGGGGGAGCATGGTCAGGGACCCCAGAGAGCTGTAGGACTCAGGTTCACTGCTCACAACAGTAGGCTGGTTGTTCATGTTGGGCACCGTGTTAGCCTGCCCGTTACCTCGGATATCTGGCAAATAGGCTGAAATAACCAAAAATATAGCAACACTCGACCTTATGTTGTGAATATAAGATTGCTTAAAGCTTCAAAGGAAAGTTAAGCTAGACTAAATTATGTTGCGTGTTTCAGCGATGCAGTATGTGGTTACTGAAGGGTGTTGTCTTATAATGAGCTGGTGATTGCCTAATGTTAAATGTACTGTAAAGTAAGGAACTTACCAGAGAGGAGGAGTTTGTTGAGCTGCTTGTGGTCGATCTTGTGGAGGTGGAGAATGTGTCTGTTCATGTTGCTGCGCCACGCGAATGTGTTCCCACAAATAGGACAGGTGTACGGTTTAGATTTCCTCATTATCGGGACCTGTGCAGTGTTGTTATGTTATTATCTCTCTGGACCTCTTATCTTGTTTGGGCAATGAAACATTCCGAACTGGGTTTTAAACCTTATCTCACAAAGACATGCCCTGAACAGCAGTGGTACCTGATCTGGATTACTGCCACCTTCCCCCCACACCTACGAGTTACCTGGTTACCTGGTTACCTGGTTACCTGGTTACCTGGTTACCTGGTTACATGCCCTGAACAGCAGTGGTACCTGATCTGGATAACTGCTACCTACCCCCCACACCTACGAGTTACCTGGTTACCTGGTTACCTGGTTACCTGGTTACCTGGTTACCTGGTTACCTGGTTACCTGGTTACCTGGTTACCTGGTTACCTGGTTACCTGGTTACATGCCCTGAACAGCAGTGGTACCTGATCTGGATAACTGCCACCTTCCCCCCACACCTACGAGTTACCTGGTTACCTGGTTACCTGGTTACCTGGTTACCTGGTTACCTGGTTACCTGGTTACCTGGTTACCTGGTTACCTGGTTACCTGGTTACCTGGTTACCTGGTTACCTGGTTACATGCCCTGAACAGCAGTGGTACCAGATCTGGATAACTGCCACCTTCCCCCCACACCTACGAGTTACCTGGTTACCTGGTTACCTGGTTACCTGGTTACATGCCCTGAACAGCAGTGGTACCTGATCTGGATAACTGCCACCTTGCCCCCACACCTACGAGTTACCTGGTTACCTGGTTACCTGGTTACCTGGTTACCTGGTTACCCGGTTACCTGGTTACCTGGTTACCTGGTTACCTGGTTACCTGGTTACCTGGTTACCTGGTTACCTGGTTACCTGGTTACCTGGTTACCTGGTTACCTGGTTACCTGGTTACCCGGTTACCTGGTTACCTGGTTACATGCCCTGAACAGCAGTGGTACCTGATCTGGATAACTGCCCCCTTCTCCCCACACCTACGAAGACACAAACGTAAGATACTATACCCTAGTTTAAAGGAGCAGCCCTAATGTTCCTAAATTACCAGTTTCTCCTAAATAAAACAGACTCGCGGTAGACTCTCACATTAACATAGTTATATAATATATAACACATACTCAATAATATATTAACATTAACTTAAGTAAAATGGTTGTTAATCTAACCTTGATGGTAGGTTTCGGTTTCATCAGATGAGTTACAGATATGTGCCTGTTCATGTTTGTTTTCCAGTTGAACACTTTGTAGCAGTAAGGGCATATGTATTTAGTGAGAGATCCGGCCACGTTAACAGTGGGAGAGAGGGAGGGGTCCTGTCTTCGGAGGTCCTGGGAGGTGGGGGTACCCGGGGAGCAGTCCTCCTGTACAGAGAGGAGGGTTACTCGAGTGCAGTATTATAACTTAGTGCTATGTTTACTTTACCGTGCAGCATTGCTTAGATATCTCCAAATAATTGGGTGAACTATTAAGCGAAAAAATGTTTGAAGAATTACAGTACGATATTGTAGGTTGTGAAATGTACCTGTTGAACGGAGTAGTTAGCTTGAGGACGATGTTGGTTATCCAGACCAGGTACTGCAGTGTCAGGACACATCTTCTTCTCTGGAGGCTGGGTTGCTGGATCTGCTTCGTTTGTTGGGATCTCCAGACTGTTTCTAAACCGGTCCTGAAACAAGAGGTTAGAAGCTTACAGTTGGTACATTGTGTTCTGGTTTAGTGTGGCTTTCTCTAGATAAGCCTTTACAGATACGTCAACACTTACTTGATCAGACCATAATATCTTGAAATAAACCTTATAATGGCACATGATGCTGTACCTGCTGTACCATGTCGTGATGGTGTACCTGAATAACGATGGGACGGAGTAGTTTGTCGTTTCCCTGGACCTCGTTAGGTTCCTCCCCCATTGAATCAGACTCTCTGCTCTCAGGAAAGGTGGAGGGGGATGATCTCTCTAGGGGACCTGGGTTATTAATTAATTAATTAATTAATTGGCTAATGAGGTACTTGATTGAACCTCAATTATTGTACTGTATCGTAACATAACGGTTTAAAATTTATCAGCCGTATTTTAGGAAACCATTGTAAGTTTTGTGTCGATAGTTATAAAACCAAATTAGAAAATACCCTATATTCCTTACGGTGAACTAAGCGTGATTCCTATCATGAGATGCCCTATATATAAGATTCTTCTAGAATTCCTATTCAAGCTGATGCCCTATAGTCAATAAAAGTCAGTTGTGCGTGCAGCGTACCTGAGTTAGTAGGTGAAGTAGCGAGAGAGTTGTTGTTAGCTAGGTTAGCCAGGTTCCACACAGTGTTAATACCGTCCACTGAAAACAGGCCTTCTTCTGAAGAATTAACTAACAGAACTTTCTCTGAAAACAGTGCACTTGTTAGCAACGTGATGCCCAAATAAGCACTTGTTAGCAACGTGATGCCCAAATAAGGACTTGTTAGCAACGTGATGTCCAAATAAGGGAGTAACTACAACGGGGGACAGGATGGTTAAAATACACCAGCTGTTTCTCTAACGTTTGTATTATGTTTTAGAGTGTACAATAATTATAGACAGAACGATGTGAACTCACCAATATTCTCCATGACAGTAAGAATAGAATTGTTAACGAGTTGCAAGAGGGCAGTAAGCGGCACTAGCGTGTCCTGACGAGGGTAGCTGAGTGCAGTCTGGCACCCTATAGAACTGTTCCCCTCAGGTAGGGAGCTAGTAGTAGTACCACCACTACTCATGTGCATTGTAGTAGCACCACTACTCATGTGCATTGTCTCTGAGTCCGGTGTGGGTGGGAGTTGGAGGGGCTCGGAGTTTAGCGTCTCGTGCGAGATATTGTGTGTTGCCATCACCTCCATTGCTTTAAGAGTATTGGCGTTAGTAAAACGGGAAACGTGTGAAGATGTAGTATTTAGCCGGCAAAAGATTTCATTCATCGCTTGAAAATAAAAGCAATTTGGCAGAGACTACAAAAGGTTACGAAGTGCGAACAAAACAAGAAGGAGAGTGCAGTGAGAAGAGTAACGTTAAGGAAAGAGTTAAAAGTGGAACTAATCAGCAGCTCCAGCCGTCTCTACATACAAGATCCCAGCTCTTGATACAGACCAACAACACTTTCACACGGGGACCTAACCGGCAACACCCAATCAGCGCCCAGTAATCCGCCCACGTGACCGGGTTCCACCAACCACGCGCCTCCCTGCCTAACCCTGGATTTCCTTGAACAATGATTATTTGTTTAAGTTTGTTTGGGCTACTTGTCACAACGAGCCTCCTCCCTCACGTCGAGCTCGCCCAGCAACTACTGACAACTAGCTCAGGTCTATCATCTAGTCTATCATCATCAAAGCTAACTCCAATTTATCCTATCATCACTATCCATCTTTAATCCTTGCCTCATCCGTGTAATGACCCCTCTCTGATTGGAGTTAACTCATGCTCTATCTGCTGTCATATTGCTACTGTCTAACTCACTGTATTTTGTGTTTTTCTAGAGAGTTGTAGAAGGAAGTATGTAGAGAGAGAGAGAGAGTGTAGTGTAAATCTTACTAACTAAACAGATGTGAGCTAATATCCGCGAGGGAGCAGTACAGTTATAGTTCTACCCAGCAGGCACTTAGTCAGGTACATGTTGGTTTTGTGGACCACGCCCCTTTAACCAACCTCTAGTCTACTGATCTGGAAACCTAACAATGTTTCCAATCTCCACAGATGTAGCTCATATTAAAACAACTCTTAGAGTTGGAACTAAAGTTAGAGGGCACACAGCAATTATAGAGTAATGGAGTTGGAACTAAAGGGTTAGAGGGCACACCGCAATTATAGAGTAATGGAAATTATCAATATCAATAATTTGTATGTAACACAACTGACTACGTAGAAAATACGACCAAAAGTTACTCTTCTGTATGAATAACATGAGCTGAGTCTTTTAATTACTTGCTCCTTAATGGACTGATGATGATGATCCACTTCTAATAACATATCCTGTTCGTACCGGTATGTGAAAAATATCAAATATTTCTGGCTTTTAATTGGGTCACATTCGGACACGTGATATGTGATTGTGTTAAATTGTGGGCAGGATTGTCTCCTAGAAATTAAAGCTGATCTGGTAAATCACAAGTGATGCGTTAAAAAAATCCAATTTAGAACATTCTTAAACTCGAATCAAACGTAACTACAGACTTCAAATAAACGTTACGATTTACACAAACCTACGAGAAACAGCAGAACACAGAACTGCAATTATTAAACACTCGGGCAGCATCATTGTTTATTGCAATCCGTTCTTCTCAAAACCTACAAGTGTTAGTTTCGACAATAAGATTATCTGAACCCTCCATTTGTGCATCCTGTTAGACCAAGTCACGTGACACGTTCAATCTAAACTTTGCTCATCTTAATGCTGTGAACTAATGAAAAAACGCGGGGGAGACCCTGGGAGTGGCTAATTGGATGTCAGCTGTTTCATTTTGGCTAGATTTTAACTTGCATGTAGAAAATGAACGACCAAAAGCGCGATCATGAGTTTAATGAAGGAGCTACTAAGGAGAAGAATGCGACATTATCTATGAGGGAGTTTGAATAACATTCTGACTAGGATGGAATCCACGCAAATCCCAGAGGAAGAAGTGGAAACCTGGCAAGTGGTACCCGCTGCACTCCGATTACCTGCGACCAATCAGCTGCTCGGAGTAACTCACGTGACTGAAGAGATTTGTCACGTGACACAAGCGCCCTTGATTGATTCTATTTAACAATTAGGCTCCTGACCCCTCTGATTTTTACATTTCCGGTACGTTAGAGGATGCAGCTGATGTTCGCCAGCCAAGCCGTCCGATAGTTCACCCTTTTAGCCAACCAGATTGCTGGACCGCTGTCACGTGTTCAATAGTTGCACCCTTAGATCTTGTGTTCAATCGCTTTAATCAATTGGAGCTAACTTTGACGCCTTTTTTCTTTTTTGAGCAGGCTGATGAAAATTTCCTGTATTTGTAAGGCTACGAGAAAAGTGCAATTTCAACTACAAAACGATAGGCTTGGTGTGTAACGAAGACGAAACCGACAACAATGATTAAATAGTAAATTAACTTTGCAAATCTCGAGTTAAATTTAAGAAATAGTTGGCAGTATCAATATGATAAAGTTTTAAAAGTTGGTGCAAGATTTATTATAAAAATGCTGGGTGTGCAACAACATTAGATTTACGGAATAAATAATCCTGGGTGATCATCTTAATGGTATTGCGAGGTATTAATTCGTTTTATCGATCTCTGAAGCTGATGTTAAACAGAACGCCTAGAATCATTTCGTTAAGATAATATAAAAATCACCATTTTATTCAAAGCTCTGATCGGATAAAGTGAGATGATAGTAGGGTTAAAGGTGAATTGATCTTCAAATATTTATTACATGATATCACGGAGGGCTTTCTCGCCACAAAGACAGTCACTAAAGAGGCTTCAACTAGAATTGAAATGATCTTAAAGAGCGGTATTCCTACAGCAATAAGTGAGGGTAGGGTGAACTAGAAGGTGCTGCTAACACGATTAGAACTAAGGAGAACTGAAAGCAGGCTGCAACCTCTCATATGCCACCCCTTTCTCCGGAAGTCAAGGACCGAAGCCTCATGAGCGGCGCCCTGCTGTTCAGAGCAGAGAGGATAGAGCTGCCCGGATGGCACTGACCCGAGTGAGCAACATCATTGGGAGAGGAGCGTGGTGGTCGGGCAGTTGTATGGGTCCGAATTTTACTGATAGAATTTGGTTAATTAAAATCAAGCCTTTTAGCTTAATTATTAATTACAAATGAAGCTCAGACCTGGTAGCCAATTGAGAGAATAGCTGGGGGAAATTTACAGTAAAACATGTAAATAGAGCAGCAAAAGCAGAGAGGGCTCACATCATCCATATTAGCTCACTGCCGCCCATTGGTCATCAGCTCTCATTTTTATCACGTGACGTGGTGTTCCCTTGTTTGCATTGGTTTTCTAGTGTGCTGATTAATTATCTCCCTAAGTCATTGTTACAATCCGCTGCTGGGAATTGTTCGAATTAAGAAATGTCAGGCCGCCTTGTTGATGTTGTATCAGTTAGATGAGCTCAACTACAGTGTTTCAGTGACGTCACACCACGTGTTATGACGTCACACCACGTGTTATGACGTCACACCACGTGTTATGACGTCACACCACGTGTTATGACGTCACGTCAGGCCGCCTTGTTGATGTTGTATCAGTTAGATGAGCTAAAATAGAGCGCCCAGAACTTGTTCCCGATTTAACCAAAATAAAATACAGCACCCAGAACTTGTTCCAGAGTTAACAAAAATAAAATGTACCAGTTCAAACCGGGTGAAGAACCAAAATAAAATAAACAAATTTGAACCATAAAAGCAGCAAAAAGCAAAAAGGTAACTGTTTTGGTGTAAACGCAGGTCGGTGCAAGTTAAAAAATACTCGTAACTGTACGTGTACATGACTTTTAAAAGAAAATGGAGGGAGTACACTAAGAGGGCTACAAGTTAAGAGGGACTACCACTCAATTTAAAGGAAAACCACCTCCGTGTAATACTGCTCTGAGTAGGGAATCTGTAAGCTGAGATGGTCCGTTATCTAGTTAAAACGCAACAATATTTAAATACACGTTCAGTCATCACGTAGCTAGAGTATTATATAATCTAAAAGGTGTGGAAGACAAATAACCGTGTGTGCACCTAAAATACTCGCCTTAACACCGCTAAAAGTAAAATGATCCGAGCGAGCTCTTCTTATCGGCGCATGCAGTTCTCGGTTTTATCACGTGATACGGTCACGTGCCGTCGTGACGTCGGACCACGTGACCTAGTGACAAGAACCACTTCCGGGGCTGGTTCTCAACTACAGTGTTTCAGTGCGCTTTGAAGAGCGCTGCTCAGTGCTGAGATTTTGCCCACCAGGATTACTGGATGTTATAGAGTCACCCATCCTAGTAGAACGAGGTAGCCCATTGGTTCTCTGAAGACACGTGACAGTAGGATATCGTGCCCTGATTGGCTAAACGGGGACACGTGGGTCAGATAATTGCTAGGGATTGGTTAATTGCCCGGTTGACAGTTCGACGTGATTCGATTAGCACCATAGGAAAGGATTTCAGTTCATTTCATTAAGAACTAAATGATTTTTATAAAAAGAATAGCTTCGGCAAGGCTACAAGCAGGATGCAGAGGTTATTTCTACGTATTTATTAAATAAAATCATTAATCAATCCGGTTTGAGATTGGGGCGGGGGAGGCACGTGACCACGAAGTAGGGACCAGGGTGGGTACCAGGTGCTAGATTTCAGGGAGTGTTTACCACAGTTGTACTTCTCTACGTGGCACTAAGACCCAGTTTAAAAGTTAGCCTTGAAAACTTACTACGAGTCAAACAAATCGAGTGAAAAGATACAAGATAGGCGGTAAATAGCAAGAAGCTTAAATTTTGAACAGCTAAAAGTTAAGGATGAGATGTATGACTGTTTGTGTTCACCGATAAGATTTAAAAAATACATGAAAAGATAGCTATCCGGAATTATAAAACAGCTAATATAGAATATATTAAGAAAGAGGAGGCTCGTACCTGCTTACAATTGCAAAAGGAAGAACACTCGGAGCCTCATCATTACGATTGTGAACCACCGGAATTATCATAATACGACTCTGTCATCAACCGTCGCTCATACCGCAATTTTCTAGGATTTCAAGAGATGACTGCCCATGATTTGGAAAGTGAAAATTGGGGTAATTAATTTTCGAATTATAAATCTTCTGCGACCTGAAAAAGTTTAATTCGTATGATGATAGAACGAGGATAAAAGCAGAAGAAGTTACATGTT